TGGCCTTTACACCCTAGTGAGAAATAGTCATTACATATATTCAACAAAATTCCAACTCAGTGCAATTCCCAATTCCCAGTATCATAACAGTCAATATCACGTCGACAGGCTAAAACTCCAATATCTAACAACTGATACATAATATTTAAAACAGTTATTACACATGCAGATACAACCAGAAAAAAATCCTGTATCTTTGTTACCTAGAATATGAACCAGAAATTCAAATGTTAGACTCAAGAAAACCATAAACACTGGACTAATTTCTACAAAACAACTGTTTGCCAAATTTTCTTCTAGCAACGAAAAAAAAAAAAAAAAAAAAACCTAAAAAAAAAAAAACCTCCAGTAATGTGCCTACGGCAATTGGAATGTAGAAGTTTGAATACGATAATTTTTTTTAACAAACAAAGGTTCAAAAGCCACAGTTGGTGAAACATGTAAACAAAAAAAAAAAAAAAAAAAAACCTCCAGTAATGTGCTACTGCAATTGGAATGTAGAAGTTTGATACGATAATTTTTTTTACAAACAAAAGGTTCAAAAGCACAGTTGGTGAACATGTAAACTACAGAAAACCAAGTTTTCAGTACCTATAAGTTGTTGAATGCCATATGCGAACTGTCCCATCCTCAGAACCTGTAATTATTATAGGAAGTTCAGGATGGAAACATACTGCAGAGACATTGTGAGTGTGGCCTTCTAGTGTCTGAACACAGCTTTTGGTTTGATAGTCCCACACCTGCTCATATAGTAATTATTTATTGATATTTCAAAATCAAGATAAGTATGTTAAATCAAAACATAACTACATAACTAGAGAGAAAAAAAAGAGGCTGAAGGCAGACCTTAGCAGTATGATCATCAGAACCTGTGATCAGGTAAGGTTTATCACCACCAGTAAAGTAATCAACACAATTTACTCCTTTCTGATGGGCGTCCAGTGTAAAATTTGGATCAGGGGAGCCAAGATTCCAAATCTATTGAAGAATAAATAAATGATAATGAGTATGATGATGCACAAAATGCACCCAACAAATTACCAACTTTTAACAACCTTTATACCTTTATGGTGCGATCAAGGGATGCACTTGCAAAAGTATTGGTGTCTTTTGGATTAAATGTCACTTGCATCACATAATGGGAGTGTCCCTCAAATATTTGAGTACAGACCCAACCCTTCTCCCAATCCCAAAGTTTTATGAGCATATCATCAGACGACGACAGCACATATGGGAGGGTGGGATGGACAGCCACACATCTAATGTAGTCTGTATGTGCCTCAAATACTTTAATCTTATCCATTGTGTTGTAGTTGTATACACGAATAAACATGTCATCAGCTCCAGCAACAACCCACTGCTTTCGGGCAATAAATTTTGCTGACCTAACTGCAAAACAGATCATCAAATAGACTTAGATCATGGAAACAAGATTTTACCAAGACAAAATGCGAAGGAAAGAAACAAATTGTGTTTAATTGTGACCATATACACAGATGGCATAAGCATATCTAACCTGGTAACTCAGTGACCTCAAATGATTTTGCCATGGTCTGGATGAAGATCAAGGAGATTATAGTTAGAGGTAGAAACACAAAATCTTGAAAGAATCTTTGCTAAAAATGAAAGTAGAATTCTTTGTATAATTCATATAAAGAAGTAAAGATACTAAAATTAGACATGAAAGAAATGAAGATATTAACATTATATAAGGAAAGAACAAAGAAATAAATGAATTCTAAAAGGTTTTAACGAAAAATAACTTTGAAATTTAAAGAAAAATATTAATGCTGCTTATTTTATCTGACTATCACAAAACTGAGGAAGTTTTGCTGGCATACTTCTTTGCTTGGTCTATAGCAAATAAATGCAAGCCATTACATGATCATAGCTCTTTCACTTCATCATCCACAATCACTATTGTTGAGGAATAGCAACTCAAAGACATGGAAAGACTAAGGCTACATGAGAATGCCATCAAAGCCTTCAAATTTTCTTAAACCTAATTCATATCATGTCTCCAAACCATAAACAATTCAAAAAGTGACCTACTTCACATGTTGCTAAAAGATATTATAAGCCAATTACAGGACACCAACTTGTTCGCCACACATAACAAAACTGTGAGCGACCATTCTCTCATTGCATAATTCTTCCTACCTGTAATTAATCGACATTAACCCAAACTAGGACATACCATTCAACTACCAAATAACTTTGTATCATTGTATGTGTACCAAAGGTTTATGAACCTAACTAGACAGTTGTTTCTATAATCACAAAATACAAGTCTAATCACAAAATATGATAATTCTATCCTATCCAAAGTAACGAGTCTATCCTAGCCAAACTAACAACATGCAGGAAAGCTCAGTGAACCAGGGTACCATGTTTGCTTCTTACCCTCTCTTCACTGGAATAAGTAAAGCGGAGATTGGATTTACTAACACTCTCATATGACAGTGTTACTGTTGGTACAACATTCATGCACAATGCTAATTGGTTAATTGAAATCACATTTTGCATTACTTCAGACGTTATTTAGAAGTATTCATAATGATAAGATTCATAACAATTTACAATTATAATCTTGTTTTATAAACTTAAAAGCAATTTTTTAACATGGCAATCCAAACAATGAACGAGCAAATCATATAAAATTATGACAATATACTAAGAAGTTCCATTTTTTGTCCTGTGCAACTAATATTGACACAGTTTTGTACCTGTGACTGGTAGTTCCAGATGCAAACAGTCCCTGAGTACAAACTCACTAGAATCCTGCAGTAAAAGTCATGACAAGTAGCGGTCAGTACAAAACATCTCCAACATCTCTTCCCAATATTTTGCTTCCAGTAAATCATATTTCCTATTCTCTCAAACAACAGAGAATTAACTAAACAAATATACAGAACAATATAATAGTTACCATGGTTCAGTTGGATGTAGATCAACAGATTTTACTCTCTCTGATCTTTGAGCAAGTTTCCTCTGATTCAAATGTCGAACAAGAATATCACATATAAGAGTTAAAAAGTCCCATACACCGTAATGAGATCTACTGCACAAATTGAAATCAAATTAAATAGAAAATTTAACAATACCTTTATTTCAAGTCTGAGAGGCTGTGAACACAAAACAAAACAAATACAAAAACTCATCAGTTCCAAATCAAACACCGGATCTCAAATTAATCGTAAAACAAAATCACCATTTGGCCACTGAGAAAACCAGTGATGGTTAAAGAAAATTTGGAATCTCAAAGAAGTTGGTAAACCAAAACCGTTACAAGATTCCAAATATACCTTCAATTTTCTCGGCAACCAAACAAAACTCCAAAAATTCACTCGAACTATGAAAATGTAAGTTCGATTAGCAAACAACTAATTTAAATTCGCGCCCAACAAACACCAGATCTCAGGTGTATTCAAGTCCTTTCCACTTTGCTTTGTTGCAAAGAAATGAAAGGGAACTTCAAGACCCTTGATTTTTCGTCACTAATCCGAGGGTAACTGACTCCACAGTAACGCATTGGATTCAATAAACAAAACGAAGTGCCCAATTACGTGATTAGACGCTAGAAATCCATGCAATTAGATGCATAACTGTATAATAGTAACAAATCAATGTAGATTTTAACCAGATCTAACTTGTACTCGAACTCGAAATGACTTCCAAACGACAATAGAATTGAAAGTGGATAACTAAACGACAATAGATCATGAACTCACCATTTTTGCAGATCGCGATAGCTAGAGATCCAGGTAATCAAGCAATAATGGAGAATAAAGATTGACAGTGTGAGAGAGAGGGTCTTTGGTTTTGTATTCGCAAGCCCTCTGTTAATATGCGAGAGACAAAAGAAGAAGAGAGAAATGCTTTGTAATCAAGGAACAGAATTACGGAGATGCCACTATATGAGAAGGAATCTAGTAGATCATGTTGTAGAATCAGATTAGTAATTTGTTGATGATGATTTGGCAAATTAACGGCCGAGATTTTAAGAGGGGTGTCCATCTCTGCGATTGTTGATTGGTACGAACAATGCCAACATGGTATAAGGACCAACTGTGGAGGTGACGTGCCTGCCATGCTGGAACTTTGGGGCCCATCCATGGCCACAGTAACAATTTTTTTATAAGATTTCATTATTTTTAATTTAAAATAATAATAAAATAGCACTTTAGCTATTTTAATTTTAAAAAAATCCTTCACCTATTTTAAAAGCAAAATAATCTTCTTACAGAAAATAATAATAAAATAAAAATTGTGATGTTTAATTAAATATTGAACAATATATGTTTAATTAAATTATATTTAAACCGACAACCAATCTTTTTTGTTGAGTACATTGGTTAGGCAAAATCGAATTGGGTTGATTAAGTTGATATTTTTGCTTATCCATATTACAATTGTATTCCACGGGGGTATACTTGAATAGTTTCGATTTATGTTATAATTATATAAATTGCATTTTCAATATGTCTGTAGATTATCATACTGGGTTTGATTATGAGAATAAAATTATTGCCCCAATGCCACAATTGTAAGGAGAGTATGGATTTAATTGAATTAGGCTTACTACAGGCCTAGGAGACCTTAAGTCCATCCAGATTTTAGTGCCAGTTTGACACTTGAAAGTAGATTGTGACTTATAGTTAATAAATATTGAAAAAATAATATAGTTACATTTAACAAATAGAATTAAAATATTAATTTCAATTCACTAAAATTTATTTTATTAAAACTAAATATTCTCGTATATTTTTTAATTATAGAAAATTTGAATATAATTAAATTACACTAATTACTTGTGCTAATAAATATTTAATTTATTGTTCAAGAATTTCAGAAAGAGCATAAAATTTTACGTTTTATCATTTAATAAAAAATACTTAAATAAATAATTCAAATTAAAGCAACAAAAATGTACTTATAATAATTTTCCGAAAAATTACATTCAATTCAATTAAAAAAAAAAAAATTATACAATCTGTCCATCTCACAAGTGACTAGTATATAGAGAATTGATAAAGCAAAAACATAATATAGGCTACTAATTTATACAAACCACACAATAAATTATAAATATATTATTTTTCCTTGAATCCTAGTATCATACAAACAACATAAGTAATTTGCTAATAGTAGCTGCCATTATTTCCTCTAAGCTTCGCCTCGTAGATAGAAAATTTTATTCCTTCAAATCACACCATTGTAGCGGTAACAATAGTTTCAACGCTGCCTCCTCAATTTGGGCTGCTAAATTTAACCATAATAGTTCCATTATCAAAACCAAACGCAACCCTGCAAGAGATTGGAGTAAAGTTAAACAATTTACTATAGTAAAAGGTTAACTGAGATAGAGTAATTAACTTACTGGTGTGAACCTTTCATGCATCCAATGGCCCAAGCTCTTTGAAGACCATAATTTAATGTGTGCTCGAGCCTACAAATTAATGTATTAATTAAAGTTGTTAATAAATTCCAGAAATACAAGATATTGAAACTCAAATATATAAACAAATAATAAAATAAGAATTACCTGTAAGTGTTTGCATCCCATATACAAATATTCCCATCTTCAGAACCTGTAATTATGATGGGAAACTCTGGATGCACAGAAACTGCACAAACATTGTTTGTGTGGCTTTCTAGTGTCTGGATCCACCATTTCGTTTCCAAGTCCCACACCTTTTTACCAATTTTCACATGCAAATTATAAATATTAGGAACTACAAAAAAAAAAAAAAAAAAAAAAAATTCAAACATTAGTTATTGTTTTGCTATAATACGCAACCACTCTAATCATATGTAATCATATGCTAATAAGTCGAGCGTGTGCCAATTTATTTCTCTTCTAGAGGCAGTCTGCTCGCGCGTATGATATAAGATTGTATTGGCACCTGTCAGAGAGAGCGCGAGCGCCAGATATTATAGCGAGAGTATAAATAGTTTTAGAGCAGACTGCTCTGCGCGCTTCAACTTGTGCTGTCGTGAGATATTATAACACATAAAGTCTCCATATCTAAAACCAAACGCTATACGCTAGACTAAGAGAGTCCGGACTAAAAGTTATAACAATTACTATAGTACCAAATGGCTTACACTGTAAGATATGTGTACTGCTAAAGTTGGAACGTAACGGTCGAGAAACACTTGTGTCGAATGTCTATGCGCATATATCGGCACCTAAACTCTTTGAAGACTCACAAGTGTAGTATTGATATGTTCTGGCGAAGACTGAGCATAATTGAAGTTTTATGTATATTAATAAGTTAAATGTTGGTTGATATTATGTGAATTTTCAGAAATACACAAAGACTGATTGTCTCGACGATATACGATATCAAATAATATGAGAGATCATTTGTTAAATATATATATACATATTTAAGATTCTCTTGATTGTTTACAAGATGTTCAGTCTGCATAATTACAAGATATATTCCGCAATCTTTTCAGACAGCGTAATATATTGGAGGGGAAAGCAATACTCTGGGACTTCACCATTGAAATCATAATGGCACAAAACATGTTAGTTTGATGTGGCTTTCGTAGTTGCTGCTAGGCATTCCACCATTTTTGTCGAAAATCTATTGCACGCGCAAAAGTCCCTCGAACTCTCCAATAGTATACACGCAGAGTAGTTATTACACCATGCATGATTGAGTAATACTTAACTTCCACGGAGATACACAATAGAAAAAAATATAAAAATAAATAATATGATCATGTTATAAATATTTTAAGATTGTGCTGAAGAAAATATGTAGGTACCATGTGTCTCGAAACCTTGGATATTAGTATTAGGAACGAGTCAGAGACCATACTAAGACGTATAGTATATGGAGCTTTTATTCATCTATGAAAAAAAAAAAAAAAAAAAAAAAAATACAGTATATGTAAATGGCTGAAGAAAAAGAGGTACCAGGTTTCGAACCTTAATAGTATAATCATCAGAACCACTAACTATATATGGCTTATCATCGTTGGTGAAAAATTCTACACAATTTACCCCTTTGGAGTGCCCTTCCAGTGTGGCTGCTGGAGCAGGAGAGCCCAGATTCCAAATCTATAAAATGTAAAATTACATTTGTAAACCAAATGGCTTTAAGCTCGACAAAAAATTAGCTAGTCCACGGACAGGGATGGAACTAAACTTCAAATTTTGAGTTTGAGAAGCCAATGATAAAAATGAACAAGAAAAAAAATAAATTTGTGCAGCAATATGAAAATTTAAACTTTAGGGAGCTAAAAATTTTACTTATGTACATATAATATGTAAATAACAAATAATTAGACTTGGGGTCATATATATACTGATTAAGGAAAAAATACATAATAATATACGTTTAATAAATAAACTTTTTTAAATTTTAAAGAAAAATTAAAAAAATTTGGAGGCTAAACACATAATTCTTTTCCCTTTTAAAAATTTAAAGTGCATATTAAAAGAGACAAATTAGCTAGAACTCAGTTTATTAACCTTAATGGTGCCATCAAGTGATGCACTTGCGAATGTATGGTTATCCTTTGGACTAAACACAACATGCATCACATAATGAGAATGCCCTTCGAAGATCTGAGTGCAATTCCAATCCTTCTCCCAATCCCACAATTTTATAAGCTTGTCATCGGAAGATGATAATACACAGGGAAGTGAAGGGTGAACAGCCACAGACCTAATGTAGTCACTGTGTGCTTCAAACTCTTTGATCAACTCCTTCGTATTGAGATCATATACACGAACAAATTTGTCATCTGATCCGGTTAAAATCCAGTCTTTTCTTGCAATGAATCTTGCTGACCTTACTGCAAGAATTGCGCAGATGAAAATTTAGCAGTAAAAACTTTATAGCAGCAGTGTAAAGATTTAAAATTAAGCATGTTCTTTGTGTATATACCAGGTGAGTCTGTGACCTTGAAAGACTTCTCCAATTTCTGTGACTGGTAGTTCCAGATACACACGGTTCCTGAATACAAACTAGTAAGGATCCTGCATGGAAAGAAAAAGATTGATCATAATGTGATATAGGAAATTAATGTATAAATATTAAAATTATTTAAAATTAGAAAGAAAGGTTGAATTTTTAATTAATTAATCAATTACCATGGTTGAGTTGGATGAAGATCCACAGATTTTACCCTTTCTGATAGTTGGGTAAATTCTTTCTGCAGAAAATTAAATCATATGTAACAAGTTAATTAGTAACTGAAACAGTTTGCTTATTGCAAGGTCCTGGAGAGGATAACATTGCAAAATATATACAAAAAGAGAGAGAGAGAGAGAGAGAGAGGAGGAGGAGGAGGGAGAGGAACCTTAATTTCCAATGCAAGAGCCTAATCAAAGAAAATGCACAAGTTGATATATTAGTCCAAAGATGAAATCTATATATTGAGTGTTTCTTTACTTACAGATATGCAAAATATTACAGAAAAACCTCACCATTTTCTTAGCTGATATATATAGCACAAGATCAGTAGAGAAAGTGATTAATATTGAAATGATTCTAATATTTGGAGATGCTGTGAGAGAGAAGATTGGTGGAGATCTCTATATATACTGTAAGAAACTTTGCGATTAAGGAAAATGTATATATATATATATATATATATCTGTCTTTTTTTTTGCAACCATCCAGGAAGAGTAGAAGACAGAAGATTTTTTCTCATTTGGTCATCAAGTAAGCCCCAAACCGTCGATTATTTCATGTGTTGGAACTGACGCGTAAGATCTTGTCTCATTACCCGCCTGGTTTGACTGTGCCATTAGATGGCTTAAGGTTTAATTCGAAGAAGATAAGGTTACACGATAAATAGCAGTCGTTTCAAAGTTGATTTTTCTAAGTCACGTTCTTTGACTTTCTAAATACTATGAATCTATTGTGTGATTAGTGATTAGTTTAATTTTAGAATTGGATTATAGTTATGGTTTGATTTTAGAATCTATTGCTACATGCATATGTTATTATAGTTATGGTTTAACTTTAGAATTCATTTGAAATTTTAATAGAATTTGATAAGTTTTACTCAATTCTATATAACTAAATTCGTATAATTAAAATCTTTATTTTTTTTCTCATTTCAAACACAAATTGAATTTCCAAATCTGTTCATAAAAATTTTTGGAATTCATTTGTTTTAAATGGATTGCTAAATATTTCAATGATACATTTCATCATTGAGGTAAGGAAAAACAAGCCATAACTCATGAAATTGAGAAATTTCACCTCAATTCCATCGTTGTATAAGCTGACAATTCTTAATTATATTCTTTTTTTATTAACATGAAAACAAATATTCTATAATATAAATATTCTATAATTATATCAAAACAAATAATACGTTCTGATCTTTAAATTTATTTATAGCTTTCGAGCCACGAAAGTGGTACCAAATTTAGGCAAACTCTGTATACTAGATATGACCTCAAAATAACAGGGGTCAAGGTCGGCCAGTGAAACGATTGCGGATAAGCTTCATCGTCGATAGAGAAACAGCCCGTTTTTATTGTTTTTATTTCTGAAATATCATTTAAATCCATTAATTTATTTTCCAACCAAAGATTGAATATATGACATTCTATGAATTTCACAATCCATAGGATTTAAGTTCCATAGATTTTGTGAAATCTGTAAATTTGATATTCTATTAATTCAAACAATCACTTTATATTTAGTCCAATACCAATATAGAAGAAAATAATAACTCATGAATTTCCCCCTCGCAATAATTTTTTTTTTTTTTTTTTTAAGAATGATCCACGCTTCAAACGCTAATATTTTTCATAGCATCTTACAACTTATTTGGTTGATTATTATGTTTTTTGATACAATTTGAAAATTGAACCTATCATCTTCCTTTGAGAGCATATACTTGATGCAACTCTAAGAGCATGAATCCCCGCAACTTTCCTTTTTGACAAAACCTGTAACAACAGAGAAGCATATAAGAAATCATATGATTATTTCTATAGAAAAAGCCTTAAAAAAACTATGTCCAATGTTATATGAAATTTGAAGTCATGTACTCAAAATTTCAAATACATTTTCCTAAAAAGAAAAAAGAAAACATTAATTTTGAATTTTTATCGATTCAATGCATCTCCTTAATGCATATTGTTTGTGGATTTACTTTGTTAATTATCTACATACAAAATCACGTACCATTACCAGAATCGTCACATTTGGAATTTTCACAATTTCGGATGGAGCCATGTTCCTCGTAAATGCCCTCTAGAGGAGGTTTCTCACTATCTTTTAGACACAAGCTTACACAAAAGGGCGCTGCCCTTCTAAGAGCCGCACATTTTAGCATGCATTTTCTGGCGCAACCACCATCTTTAGCATCCTCTGAGACTGCCAAGAGCAACAAGAAAAACAAAACCACCATCAGTCAAATTTAAATCATAAAAATTGCTTACTGTTTGTAGTTTTTCTTTGTTAATTATCTCTAGAAAATCCAACATACCATCACCAAAATTGCCACATATAGAAAATTTACAATCTTCAGTACGCTCATGTTTTTGACAAATTCTGATACAACAGTTGACATATCTACTTCCATAAGGACCACACCGATCGTCGCATCCTCTGATGCAATCAACACCTTGAGCCTCCTCTGAAGCCTGCTCTGAAACTGCCGAAAGCAAGAACAGAGTCATAACCACCGTCATAAGCTTAACAACCTGACTTTCTTCCATTGTTCTTACTTAACCTCAACTTTGCATTTTATGTATTCTTTTACTTCTTTATATATTTGAACAATCGTAATACAGAGGGACTAATTTGAAGGCATATGGCAAATTCTTTTAAATGAAAATATCATTACCAGATTTATTGACAATGAAACTTTGGCCAAATGGCCAAAACGAAGATCCTGATACCAAAAAGTTTCAGGTTGGAGGATTTCCTCTCCTTTTTAAAAAAATGGAATTCACTTATCTATATCGGATCCATGACTTTATCTATAAACCAAATCAATAAAGAAATAATGAATTTTGTTAAATGAACATCTTTCTGATCATACGCTAGAGAAAAAAAAAATAAGAAAAATATTTAAAAATTCATATTTTCATTGATTTGGCCTATGTCACAAGGTCATGAACTTCATGTAAACAAGTATAATCTAAAAATTATAATATCTACGCAATAATTGCCAGATTTATTAAGTAATTGCAATGTCTGCCCAATAATTATTAGACTTACTGAGTTGATATAAATCAAGGGGCGGCTGAAGACTACTCCAATGTGTATAGAAACTCAGAATTGAATTACAATACATTATTTTTATTTTTTATTTTTATCAAATCTTAACTTAATTACCTCCTAATTTGTTGAAATTTTAATTCTAAAATAATATAACTTTTTCTTCTTCTTTTTTTTTAATAATTAAAAACTCCAACAATAAATTTGTTGCATTAATAATAAAATTCTTTAATTTTTCTCGAATAATTAACAAACCCAATAATAAATTTATTGCATTCATTATTTATTCAACTCAATTACACTCTCTGTCTTTCACTTCACAATAATATGCTATTAAATATAGAAACAACAGGCACACAACAAATTGTGTGTATATATATATGCATATCCTAGTAAAAAGTAAAAACAATAGAAGAAATTTACTAATAGCAGCAGCCACATTTCCTCTAATGTAGATATAAAATTTTATTCCTTCAAAATTTTATGCATATATTATTACACAGTCTTGGGTCCAGCTCCTTAGTCTATTGAATAAAGCCTTTGAAATATATTTTGGGCTTTGATGCCTATAAAATCTTAATGTAAAGTAACATAATGTGATTATATTGTAGTATGTATGCATCTAATTATGTTATATTTTTCTTATGGTTCACCAAACCGAGCTTAGGTTTCGTTTGAACGAGTTATAGCCGGAGTAAAGGATCGGTTATTTTGAATCAAGATAAAAATTACAAATTAAAGTTTCAGAAAGTGACATTAACCAAACTAAATCAACTCAGATTGATCGATTTTAATGAGTTTTGTTGGGCCATTTTGATTTTAGACCTAATGAATGATTTTTGCAAAATTGAGCTGAATAAGAAAAAAATTATATTTAAACCGACAACCAATCTTTTTTGTTGAATAGATTGATTAGACAAAATCGAATTGGGTTGATTAAATTGATATTTTTTCTTATCCATATTACATTTTCACTTTCTAAATTTTATTAAAGGTTGAAGAATTGAAGCAAGAATCTAAATCCTGTATTTTTTTGACTAGAGAAAGTCAAGAAGCAACTTTAAAAAGAAAGATCGAGATTAAAAGATCAATCATAATAGTTTCAGAAAAAAAAAAAAAAGGATCAATCATAGTGATTCTATTATTACCACATATATATGCTTTTTACAATTTCCAGTCAACAAAAACATGGCAAGTTTTTTTTTTGCTTAGCCATAAAGCTAAATGTCTTTATAATGACATGAGAATAATTTGAAGTAAACAATTCAGTTTGCCAAATAAGAGTCAGAATTAGAATCTTAATAATATAAAAATTTTCTCTTAAATATTTAAAAAATAAATAAAATGGGTATATTTTGATTAAATTTAGATCCTTGGGTTAACTCAAGGTGGTCTAATGTGTCCATTTTTATATTATTCTATTATAAATTTTAGATGAAATTTAAATTTGGAATGACAATATATCTAAATTTGTAAATTTGGAATATGAAGGGAATAAATGTTATTTTAAAGCAATATTGCAACAAGTGGTAAAATTCGAAATATTTTTATAGATTAAGCTGTACTTTTACATATCATTTAAGTAAAATTTTCAACTATTCGAATTGATTCATTCAATTATGATTTATTATATAAAAAAACACTTGACTATTAAAGTAGCAGGGTCTAATGACTAATAGCACATAGTCATACCCACTTCACATATATGTCACAAAGTCACAGAGAGATATATAGTTTATTTTATTTTATTTTATTTTTCTTGAAATTACCTTCACTTCCCTTTAGTGAAATGGCCGGTCCATTGAATTGATATCCCCGGTTAACCGGGTAAGCTAAAGATAGCAGTGGAGAAAGAATTGAAGTTGCATTATAACTTACGGAATCCCATTTTCTTTTTCTTTTTCAATTAGCCTGACTGAATGGCAATTCACAATTTGGGTAACATAAAAACAATTCTTAACCATATAATTTTTAATTTTTAAACCAATAAAAAAAAAGAAAAAGGAATAATATAGAAAAAAGGAATAGATATATTATATATATCTATATATATATATATATATAATATCATATATATATATATATATATATATATATATAGTAATGGAAAAGGGAGCAAAAGCAGGACAGATTGAAATTGGACTATATATAGTAATTGGAAAAGGAGAAAAGCAGGACAGAATTGAATTGACCCATTTGTAATCATGTAATAATCTCTTTTGCTTAATGAATAGATATTAGTCCACAAAGCAAATGGAAGAATATCCCAAAGAATCATATTAAGTGCTACCAATTTAACTTCATTTTCTACGTTAAACAAATTTTAAACTCATTTGTTGCATTATTTAGCTAATTAATCGCATTATTAATTGAATGTACTGGAAATAAATGTAAACTCAGTGTAAATAATTATTTTTCACGTAATGAAAATTACACAATTAATTTCTCTGCATTGTCAAATTAATAAAGAAACTCTATGACCGCCCATAGGTTCTAATTACCACATATATATACATATTAGTGCCTTCACCACTATGAATTTAATGGCAGAAATTATAGCGCAGAAACTTTGATATATTTAACCATTAAAGATCACTTCCCCTAAGTTGACTTGCAGAGAGGCTCCCAAATCCCAAAAAATAAAAAATAAAGAACATAAGAGTCAATTGAAGTTATGATCATAACCATGAAACTATAATTGTAAAAAGTGCTTTCAAAGCTTGAAGGAATTGGTATATTCTAAGAATAAACTTTCTCCACTCACTACCCTTCTCAACTTCCTTTATCGTTCACCAAACTTGACAAGCCTGAACCCTGTCAAATAGGGTTAGACCATAGCCATCAAGAACTATTATTATTACTATTCTTCTGATTTTCTTTTACCTTAAAAAACCAAGTTGACCAAGAAAAGAATTAACTAAATTATTTCCCTAAAAAAATTTTTTTTTATCGGCAATTGAGGTGTTAAGATCAGAACCCTAGAAACTGCATTGGTATTGCAAGAATCAAAAGTAAAACACACCCACTATATATTCCCGGTGATGGCACACTATGTGTTCCTATCAGATCTTTCCAACAGCACAACAAGAATATTCTCATCGATCAAAAATCAAACAAATGATTCCACAGAAACCATCTATATTCATTTAAATCTGGTTCATCAATTGTGGGTATACCATAATTATATGTTATATTATTTATAAAAAAGATTTCCATAAAGAAATACTCTATATGCTGTTATCTATCACCATTTATAGGTACAGCAAGAAAAAGGTAAAAAGAAAAGAAAATAAAATGAAAAATGAAAAAAGCTGCTGCCCTTCGCCGCATATAGGGATAATGTCCTTGTCCCGCCTAATTTTGATCATTGGTCTCACGTTGTGTAGAAGAGAATGTCTCTGTTCTTTCCTTGAGAATAATTAATTTCTCGGTAATAAAAATATTCTTCAAATTTTGGCTGCAATAAGAGGGTATTTTTAGGTGGTTGATGATGGATGCAAGTTGGCAAATCAAAAACAGATTTATCAGCAGGAAATCTTGACTCCCCCAGCTATCATTCCATTTGAGAATTGAATTCCAAATCGTTAAATACACATATCTTAATTCATTTTTATAATTATCATTAGTAAATTTACTGAGCGTATACACTCGATATATATAAATTTTTCTCAATAAAAAATGAGATATGAAACCATTTTAGTAACTATATATGTGTGTGTGTCAACCCTAAAATCGGATTAGGATTAAACTGAACAAAATTAGCGCAAAGATTCTTATGAAGTCAGTTTTGAATAGCAGAGTAATATCAATAAGGAAAACAAGTTTATATATTTATATATATGTACATTATAAAGCCACTTTGATTACCAACTTGAAGTTATTAAAGGAAACAAGATCCCCAAGGATCAAACCGAAGAGATCCTTTAATCATCAAAATCAAACATTCAAACGGAAGGTTAGATATTATATATGGTGTTAAAGTGGAAATGGCTTTTTGACGTAAGATTCAGGTAGAAGTCTATCTGAACTTATAATAATATGCACAATTGGTACTATATGTTAATTCTTATTAATTGCAAAACCTAACATTATTTTAAGAGCAATCATCACCTTAATTGGTAAACTGTTGGGCAAAAAATTTTAGATTGATCAAGACTCATTTTGGTCAAAAGAAAGGTGCTACAAATACTGATAATTGGATTCCAACAAAGGAAGCACTAACTAGTATACTGTTGCATTGGATGGGTATTATTATTTTCAATCATTTAGGTTTAGTTATTAGATATCAAAGGTAAAACACACTTGAATTCATCAAACGAATTCTGCAAAACCGCGTGCAGAAATACTCGTAGAAAACTCAAAACATAATATATATATATATAGTACTTTTCTAAATAATATATAGCTTATACAATAATCTCAAAAAAAATAGAAAATCCCTTAAAACTTCAATAGAAATCGATGGAATACAGAAACTTTATGACACTTTGCCATCTGAATCAAATCTGCATATTAATATCTGATTTGGTTTTTGTACTTGTCACACCAAAAAGAGTGACCAGATTACACTTTACAAAGACCTAAAATGTTATTATCTGTGAACTGCGACCACAATCCACAGAAGGCTAGAGGCTGACTATAGCTGGTAAGATAGACCATTACAAATTTACAGTTCCTTCGTCTACTATTTCCATTCTACTGCAACGTGTTTTTTTGAGTGTCGAGTTATCTGCCAAATGGGTTTCTCAACTTTTGTTGTTCATTAATAAATTTTCTTTCACAAAGTCAATTTTAAAATCATAATCAAATTGTTCTCTACTCTCTTGCAATCTCAGAATTAATTCATGCTTTTAATGCTGGATATGATCAGTTAGATACGTAGGATGGTTATGTTGCTAAGGTTACTTTTGGAAAATAAATAAAAAGAAAACCCTAGTTTTTTTTAGGCTGATTTTTTTTTTTTTTTTTATATTATTTACCAAGACTGGAATCTAAAATTACAAGTAAAACAAGATTCTTTTAGCTGAATCTAAATCCCCAATTTGAGAGTGATAGTTTGCTTTTAATTAGATTATAAAAATGAATTTACTAAATTACTAATACTTTAAAATTTATCAATTAATGATTTATAACAATTAAAAATGTAAAACTGGAAAGAAAGGGAAGAATTTGAATTTTTAAAAGAATAAGGAAGACCAAATTGGTCCGTCTGCAATCTGCACAACCATTTTGTTGACAACTTGAATTAGAACTCAGAAGCTTTATAATGGAATAAACATGGACAAAAGTTAAAAAGAGAAAAAAAGTGCCAAAAAATGCAGGATCGAATCTATTAAATTGGTGTCAATTGGCAAGCTATTTCAATTGAATGGTTATGACTGAATGCCCATTTAGTTTAAGAGGAACCTAAATGGAATGTAAGATATTCCATTCCCATTCCATTTTTTAATAATAATCCACATTTAACCATCAAATTTATTATAAACTTTTCACATTTTTTCAATTGTATCCTCTAAGTTATATCCTCCAGGCCTCTAATTGTTATATACTATTTAATAAAATAAAAATAGGGCAGCAATAATTATTTATAACTCATCAAATAGCAATCCGCTTTTAGTTATTAGCGAGTAAAGCACGGCTTATCAATTAGATTAAAGGTCAGATACTAATTAATTTTTATTATAAAAAGAAATTAACGGACCCATGTGTCTTAAGCTTAAAAAATAAGCTTAAGAGATTCACCGACCAAAAATTCATATATATAAGAATATTTTAGTGGGTATCTCCTCCTTTAAAAAATTTTTACCTACTAAAGAAAAGAATTTTACTTGGTGAAACTCTATTAGTAATAAATTAAATAAATATTTAATGAGTCTCATTTTAAACTACCTTCTTCATGCCCTAACCTAATAGCTTTGCAATGAGATAATATTATCTTCAATTTCTTTTTTTTTTTTTTTTATATTAGCTTTGCAAATGAGATAATATTATCTTCAATTTCTTTTTTTTTTTTTTTTATATATTATATACACAAATAATTTTTTTTTTTTTTTTTATATATATATACACAATATATCTTTATTTATGGATGATAAAAGAATTTTGAACTCTTGGCATTTGGACATTTACGTACATTTGCTAATTCATTTAGGATATGAGTGTCCGTGCCTTTTATGGACTTACAGACAGCATGGCATTCGCATGATCTAACGAGGTTACGTTATTCAAAATGATTTAGTAATTAGTTCTTGATTTCCTTTTTCTCTCATTCTACCAGAAATAAAAGAAAATCAATTTGCCTGATAAGGAAAATGCCTTTTGCCTATATTCATCTCCTTCAACTGAATTTAAACATCACCTTATTAACTAAAAGAAAATACTTATTGAAAAAATTAATAACATTGAATCCATCAAATCAAAATATTTTGCAAGAGGTTTTCCAATTTAGTAATTATGATGTCTTAAAAAAAACTATCTTTAACACATATTTTCATATCTTCATGTCACAAACCATACATTCTATGGTCAACGCATGACATAAAAGATTACTCTTCACAGTCCATCAAGAGTGATGGCCCCAAATATTGCAATTCCTATAGTTATTATTACTTCTTTTAATACAACCAATTCTGATCTTCAATATGTTTGTTTCTTGCATAATTAAATACAGGCTTTATGACTTTTTTTTCTTGCATTATTAAATATAGTCTAACGGTAAATATATATACAACATGATATTACTTAAATTTGAATCTCTTTTCTAAATGCTTAAAAAATATTTTTTTATCTATTAAATTCGGGGCATTTTTGCTGTCCACAATAAAAACTACAAATTTTTTTTAAATTACTATTTAGTTTTTAGTAAAGAAAAAAGAAAAGAAAGGTAGGTAAGTTATTCTTTAATCATGACAAAATAAAGATTGTGTTGATACAAATGTCCTACATATTTGAAATGAAGGGACTATTACTATATTATATCATGTGATTAAAATTTGGCATTTTCTATATATTTAATGAATTATAATAGAAAATAATATATAATAATTAAAGGTATTTTTAATGTAAATTTATATTAAAATATTTTTAATTATATTACATTATGTTTGATCGGGCTTACTAAACGTGACATAGCAGTTATTACTCATAGGCATAGCCCAGTAATTTGTTATTTAAATGAAAATATTAAGAAATTGCCAAACCAAAAAAAATACTTTTTAAAAGTTAAAGTTCACTCTGGAACCTTGGCATGACCAAACTATCCCTAGCATACCAAGACCATTTACTAATGACTTTCCTAAAAGCACAATTAAAAGGACTAAAAAGCCCCTACCCAACAAATACAGAGACTTTTTTTTTTTTTTTTGAAATTAATACAGAAATTTTTTAGTAACTGCAATCCTAATACATGCTCTTCCTCTCTGAGTGGTCTCTCTATAAATTCAAAGCCTTGCCATTGTCTTCCTTCAGCAAGTTTACTTCTTTTCATTTTCTTTTCGTTTGGTTGAAAATCCAAAATGGGTGTCAACTCTAATAGAGTTGAAGATTTCTCTTCCCGTGAAACTACACTTAGAATCTCCGCTAATGAAGCAGTAATGCCATCTATAGAAATACACAGCGTTTGTTTGCCACCCCAACAAACCACCTTTCAGAAACTGAAACAAAGGCTTGGTGAGATCTTCTTTCCGGATGATCCCCTTTACAAGTTCAAGAACCAAACATGGCCTAAGAAACTGCTTTTGGGTCTTCAATTCTTCTTTCCCATCTTTCAATGGGGTCCTGAGTATAATCTCAGGCTTTTAAGGTCTGATATCATCTCTGGTCTCACCATTGCCAGTCTAGCAATCCCACAGGTACATGCATATTTTATGTATCTATCTATATATACATATGTATATGTATATGTATCATGTACATGCATAACTGCGTTGTAATTTTGTGTCTCGTGCTGATGGTATTTGTCAAGTTATGATTTGAGTTTTAATGGAGAAAGGAGACTGAGTTGGGGTTGCCATATATATTTTTTTTTACCCTTTTTTCTGGATTATTAGAATGGCAGTTGTTGTTGTTATAATTATTATTATGGGTAATCTCAAATGGGTTTGTTTTTACTAGTGAATTTTTGTTCTTATTATATTCTCTGCTTGTTTTTTCTAGGAACATGATTCTTGTCTTAGCAATTCATGTGAATATAATTTAATAATAATATAGTTATTCTTCTAATGTGACAATCAATTCATTTCTGGCCTATTACTGTCTTGAGAATAATTTAAATTATTAAAAAAAAATTTCACCTGGTTAACTGTAATTTTTGAATGTTCAATTGTCTCATATGTAATTTTCCCTCTTTTTTTTTTTTTTTTTTTTTTTTTTTTTTTTTTTTTTTTTTTTTTTTTTTTTTTTTTTTTTTTTTTTTTTTTTTTTTTTTTTTTTTTTTTACATTGCAGGGTATCAGTTATGCAAAACTTGCAAATTTGCCACCAATAGTTGGTCTATGTTAGTATCAGAATTGGAAGTCAATTATTTACAAATAGAAAAATGATTAATCCTGTATTAAAAGTGAAAATCTGTAATAATTTTTCTTTTTTACTGATGCAGATTCAAGCTTTGTGCCTCCATTGATATACTCAATTCTTGGGAGTTCTAGACACCTTGCTGTTGGTCCTGTCTCTATAGCATCACTGGTGATGGGTTCGATGTTAAGTGAGGCAGTGTCTCCTACAAATGATCAAATTCTTTATCTGAAATTGGCATTTACTGCTACTTTCTTTGCTGGAGTATTTCAGGCTTCTCTTGGTCTACTAAGGTAAATTTGAAAGCGATTGCTTTGCTTGAAATTGTAATTGCAGAAAGAAAGGTGATTCCTCTGTTTTTTGAATGTGTACTGACTTTGTTTTTATCCTTTCAGGTTAGGCTTTGTTATTGATTTTCTCTCAAAGGCTACTCTTATTGGATTTATGGCTGGGGCAGCCATTATTGTCTCGTTGCAACAGTTAAAAGGGTTGCTTGGAATTGCTCACTTTACTAGCAAGATGCAATTTTTTGCTGTCATGTCCTCTGTTTTTCATAACAGAAATGAGGTAATTTTTCTCATACATGGGTCCTTTCGTGATTAATCAACTTCTAAACCTGGAATCGTCTAACCGACTGACGGCTCCTTTCTGTTCAAAAGTACCCAATTTTCGAAGTACTTCTGGACCAAACACCCATTTAATTGAGTTGGAGCAATAACTCAAAAGCACTTACTTTTAAGCAGGATTGCTTCGTGTTATTGAATGACATTAAATTTTCCTGCTTTCAAGAATTGCATATGGTAACACAGTAGCAATTAAATGTGCAGTGGTCCTGGGAAACAATTGTTATGGGCTTCAGTTTCCTGGTGTTTCTATTAATAACAAGGCGTATTGTAAGTATCAACATTTTTGCCCTCAAAGCTTTTCCCATTTCACCTTATTGTAGTACCTAAAATTTTTACATTGTATGGATTGACACAGAGCATGAAGAACCCAAAGCTTTTTTGGGTATCAGCAGCAGCACCATTAACATCAGTTATAATCTCAACCCTTCTAGTATTCTGCCTCAAATCAAAGATTCATGGAGTCACCACTGTAAGAATTACAATCAGCCCGTATAAATTCTTTATTTTCTGTAAATCGAACTTTGTTTAACATTTTTAACCTTAACAGATTGGTCATCTGCCAAAAGGCTTGAATCCACCTTCTGCAAATATGCTATATTTTAATGGTTATCATCTAGCACTAGCTATCAAAACTGGCATTGTAACTGGAATTCTCTCTCTAACTGTGAGTCACTCGAAACTTGCATACCGTTAGATTCTTCATCTCATTCTAATCTTATTAGTTTTTACTGTTTTTTTAAATATTTTCTATATTTTTCCAGGAAGGAATTGCTGTAGGCAGAACATTTGCTGCTATTAAGAACTACCAAGTTGATGGCAACAAAGAAATGATGGCTATAGGTGTTATGAACATGGCTGGTTCTTGTTCTTCATGTTATGTTACAACAGGTGATGATCTTTTAATAATTCCAACTTTATTTTTAATAGTTCGACAAATAAAATTTCTAAATAACAACTTTCAATTACTCTTTCAGGGTCATTTTCGCGATCTGCAGTCAACTACAATGCTGGAGCACAGACTGCGGTTTCTAACATTATATTGGCTTCAGCTGTTCTTATAACCCTGCTATTTCTGATGCCACTGTTTTACTACACTCCCAATTTCATCTTGGCAGCCATCATTATAACAGCTGTGATTGGACTAATAGATTACCAGGCTGCATATCATCTGTGGAAAGTTGACAAGCTTGATTTCTTAGCTTGTTTATGCTCCTTCGTTGGTGTACTTTTCATTTCAGTGCCTTTAGGTCTTGCAATAGCAGTAAGTCATCATTCAAATACTTCAACTATAATGCTCTTAGAAGCTGAAATTAAAGCTTTCTACATGAATATGGACTGCATTTGTTTTAACATCTGATTTTTTTGTCTGCAAACAGGTTGGAGTTTCAGTATTCAAAATTCTACTGCATGTGACTAGACCAAATACAGCAACAATGGGAAACATACCAGGAACCCATATATACCAGAGCCTTAATAGATACAGAGAAGCTCTAAGAGTTCCTTCAATTCTCATACTCGCTATAGAATCCCCTATCTACTTTGCAAATTCTACTTACCTCCAAGAGAGGTTCGTTCGCCTTCAATTCCAATAATATTATCTCCTAATTTTATCATTTTTCAGACACAAGGCCTAGTATCTGCTTCTTTGGTAATAGGAATGTACGTTATTGAGATGTTCTGAAATGAAAAAAATATTGTATTGCAGGATAGCAAGATGGATTCGGGAGGAAGAAGAGAGGATTAAAGCAAATAATGAAAGTGCGCTTAAATGTATAATTTTGGATATGACAGGTACATTATAGCGAAGCACTTATTAACATATAACTATCAACTGAAACACAACTGTGGGAGATTCAAGTTACAGAATTAGCAGAAAGTAACTTTCTTTTACCATTTCCTTTTCCAGCTGTGACAGCCATAGACACAACTGGTATCGAGTTATTATCTGAATTAAGAAAGATGCTAGAGAAAAGGAGCCTTCAGGTAGAGACCAAAAGACTGTTTAACATTACTATTTTACTTTCTTTTTTTGGTTAATTTCAAGCTATTTTACTAATTTTGCTGCTTTTTTTTTCAGCTTGTGTTGGCAAATCCTGTTGGAAGTGTAATAGAAAAGTTACAGAAATCTGGAAAATTGGATTCATTCGGATTAAATGGAGTCTATCTTACAGTTGGAGAAGCTGTAGACGATCTTTCGGCCTTATGGAAGTCTCAAGCATGAGTTTCCAGAGGACTTGGAAGTAGGAAAATGGAAAGAAATGAAAAAATGACTGACCCTTTGTTTCAGAATATTTCGGGCTTAGATAGGAAGAGCTATAGTAAAGAGAGGAATTTTCTTTTCTTTTCTTTTACTATTTGCAAGGAAATCGATGCAATGAAAACATTGCTTCTCTTTCTTTTCCATTAGAATAGATCAAAACTAAGCTCTTCCTGGAAGAGATTTTGAAGTTCAGTTTCATTTTACTCTGATTGTGTACATGTTTATCTACTGGAATCTCTACAAACAATTTTAGATTTTGAGTTCATGACATTGAAATGTCTATGAAGTCAAGAAATTCAAAACCCTCCAATTTGTAGGTAAAATCATGTTCTCAATTTCACCTTTGATTATAAAGTTCACACGGTTGAGTTGTCATCCGCACCACTATGGCTAATGTCCACCAAAGGGAAGTTTACTTTCTAGTGAGCACATATCATTGGGCGTTTCTACTGGATTTACCTTTTGCATAAAATAGTCTAAGCCACTTTAATTGATTCACCTTTCTCATTATATGCCATTTATCCAATGTAGGATTATCAACATACTTCTAACAGTTTCGTCATCAACTTTCAAGCATATAGAAGAGAGGAGACAGGAGTTTCTGAAATAGAACGAATTACAATACTTACAAAGCTCCACAAATCACAAACGTTTGAAATGTAGCCCACTCATTCTCGATGAACAATTTATTGATTATATATATATATATATTGGTACTGGCGGTTAGGGATATCCTTGAAACAGTTTAAATACATCGAATGAATCTCCTCATGCAAGCTTAGGAGTGCACTCCCTGACTTCGGTCAAATGCATTCAAAAAAATTAACGTTAACTTTGAAACTTGATTGCTTTATTATCAATCTTTACAATTCCTAATGCAAGTAGAATGCTGAGCATCAAGCTGAGAATTTTAATACAATTGCCACAACATACCCATTTCAATATCCATATCCTACCTTAGTTTTCAGACGGGACGGCCACAAATAACACTAGAAACTATTTTCACTGACAAATGCATATATTTCAGCGGGTACCATACTAAAAGAATCAAGATCAATTACTAATTTCAATTTGCATTCAAATTTGATAAAATGATGTGCACTTTAGATGATTGGACTTCGGCACAACTTAAAGCCAAAAGGGGAACTTAAAAATTGAAGATTTGAGTTCTGAGAAGTATCAGAGACACTAGATAACAACAAACTTCTATGGTGAGAACTCCCTGAACCTAAACCTAATGATGCAAGAAATCCTACGTTTCCGTAAGATGGTGCATTGCGAGAAAGTGGAAGAACTATGATTATTGTGCGGATCTGGAGTAGCCTAACCAACAACCAGGAAACAATATATTATAATGTTGCAAAATACTGAACCACTGTAACCAATGCTGCTAAACTCGCTGAAGCTTTACCCAGAAATAAGCTTGGAATCCTAGCTTATGCTTACCATGTTGAGTAGCTAAAAACATGTATCTATAATACAGATTAAACAAATCAATTCCAGTGTATCAGCCCTGTGAGAAGTTCAAAGATATGAGAATCTACATTTTCTCATTTCATTGGCGTATATGGAAACTCATCCAAATGTCATTAAAATAGGCACTAAACCAGAAAATAGTATCAGAAGAAGAACAAGCATCATCTTTCCAGAAACTTCCTACAATTGTACACTAAGAGTTTCCCAACACAATGCATACCTAGTTTTGCATGCTTCATTTCCCAATCATTTACGAATCATCTCCATTTTCTGGTGGCCATTCTCTGTCGTTGCCTTCAGCATAGGCAATAGAACCTGCAGACTAAAACAATTCTTCCTATCACAATTTGGATATGATATATCACAAGTTTCACCCAAGAGCTCTTCCAAACCATTCCATAAGTAGCAACTTTGGTCCCAGAAAAAGTTTGATCCTGCCTGTCGAGTTTTCCTTGTCAATCAAACATCTGCATGGATGGCAGTAGTCTAAGGTTAAGATCATTATCACCGATATAACAGAAATTAAAAATCACAAACCTGGGCTTTCTTCCTAATAGTTATTTTCAGCTCACAAGATCATTTAGAGCATTGAGATTCTTTATCAAAATCCCCAAGCTCACAACTCCCTTATGGAAGGGATGTCATTCTACTCAGTTTTTATGAGATAGAGTTTGGTAAGGGAGGACTGCCATACTATGTATTCCAAGCCCAAAAGAGAGACCAATAGCAGCCCCCAGCACCACCCAAGAAACAAAAAAAAATACTAGGATAGAATTATACAACAACTGAAGGAGAAGAAGTGAAAATACCACACCAAGCAACACATCAGAATGGTTCTTAGACTATGCAATTATTCAAGCGCAAAAGACTACAAAAAAGGTAAAACTTCACCAGCTCAGTCGAGTAACAGTTTCTCCCAAAAAATTAAATACAAAAATAGTATCAGAAAACAATGGTGCAGAAACCAATTCAATATCTAAGTTAAACAATTAAGAAAATAGAAACTTTCATGAATCAAAGTAGTCCTCTCAGATTCAAAGCCAACCACATAAACTAAGTGGCAACAGGATGTGTAAAAATCTTAAAAAAGAACCCTATTTCAGGATGTTATTGCTTCATAAAGGCACAACATAGTAAGCCACCAACACGATGAGAAAGAACTATTATTCAACAACTATATCATAGACGAAATAAAGAACCCAGAAATCATAACGAAAGATTTAAAATGAAGAAATTTTAAAACAAAATGCATTATTTTAATTTCCTGAAAAGTTAGCAAAGAGTTTCAACTTCAACTGAACCCAAGAAAATCCCTCCAGAATCCTTAAAACTCTCGAACAAGGAAAAAACCAAAACAAATATCAAACAGGCATAATATGCAGAAGAGCTTTCAAACGAATTAATAGATATCTTAAACAGAAAATTAAAAGTTTGCTGCCCCGTGTTATCTAATAAGCCTGCTTGAACAAGTCTGTTCACAGTTGAGAACCTAAAACACTTTGGTTCAGCTTTTTACTAACTATTGACAGAAATGAGGCTTATTATGCAAATTCACCTACTAACTGGTAACGGTTCAGATTCTTTACAGCCCTGAGTTCATAGCCACACAAGTACCAGCTTCGTGACATGTGACATTTTAACTTGATTGCTCAGGCAACAAAAGATCACAGAAGGAGAAAAATCAATCATTAAACTGAATAAGGTTAGCCATTTCCCAATAACTGATATGAACCCTATTTCCTAAAAGAGATGGTCAGAAAAGGAAGAACTAGGCATTAAAAATCAAATAAAAGAAATTTTCATGAAAATATTCTCTGAGCGACTGCCTAACCCATACAGGAACAAGTTCTTACTTGATCGGAGTCGTGTGATTGGAATCTCTCGGAGTTCACGTTTAATACACAGATATTCACCAAGCAAAGCCATCACTGCAAGTCCAGTACCATTCACAACCCACCATGTTATTGACGAAGGCCAACCTCCATATATAATACATATAAAAAGATGGATGATGTAGAGGGTTGCAGAAAAATCTAGGCACTTCTTTGCCCTCTCAATCAAGTAAAGCATAAATCCAGCTCTACATGAACCAAATAAACAAAAGCAAGAGTTAAATGCATTATTTTAAAAAATTGTTCCATCTGTAAATTCGCAGCAGCCACAAAACACAGTCATAAATAAAATCAGCAAAAAGGAATGTGAATTTTCTTAGAATAATAGCAAATTACTACTAAAAAGAAATGTATTTCGCATGGACATCAATCATATCAATAGAAAGATGAACTATATAATATCTCCACTCGTATGATAGTACAGCCACCTGTAAACCTAATTTTATCATATTCCCACTATAAAATCCAGATTGAAAAAATTATACATTTTGATTGAATACAAACAGTAACATCATTGCATTGTTCTATTTCAGCCCATTAACACAGCAAATAAATATACACAATGATAGTAAAATCATACTGAACAAGCTGAAGTTCTAGTGAACTAACAAAAGTAAAAAACCAAGGGATAAAAAAAAACTATTATAGAAATACGTACAGTTCATAATTGACTGAGAAAAAAATAACAAAAAACATAAAATAAAATAACCAAAATTCATTAAGAACTTACCCAGCAATGGAGCTGAAAAGGAAGGAGGCGATGACGCACCAACCAGTGACGGTAGAGGTGGTAAGAGCAACAAAATCAAAGAAATAGACGAGACTCAATCGAGAGACGCGAGTCCCAACAAGAATCGATAAAAATAAACCAAGCGTGAGATAGTATAGGCATTGAAGACAGACGATTTGGGCAACAATTAGCCATGGATCCCATACCACTGCACCATAGAACATGACTAACCCTGATTCCTAATCCACACCTAAAACTCCCAAAGTCAAAATCGAAATCAATCCGTTATTGAACGAAACGAACTTGTAATTATTTATCAAAAAGCACCAAACTTTTACTAAATCAAAATCATTCCCTCATTTTAAGCTTCGACAAAGAGAGACGCAAGTTGTGAGATATTTTTCTGTACGGTGAAGTGAAAATCATGGAAATGAATAGAAAATGGATCGGATCCGAGTGTATATCGACAGGTGGAATCAAATAACTCAAAAAATAAAATAAAAAAAGAAGAATTAAGAGAGAGAAATCAGCAAAGAAGAAGAAGACCCTAGATTTGAATCGAAAGAAATGAAGTGACCGTTTGTACAGAAGATTGAAGGAGAAGAAACTAGCAGTGAAAGCATCCAGGCGATGCTTTTTGGGTAATTCCTTTCTGGTAAAAAATAATTTTAAAAAAAAAAATACGAAACGCGTATGGACTCACGGCCGAAGTAGAACAACTTTCTTTTAATTGGAGGCCGAGGCCCAATGGACCCAGTTTGAAATTTCCTACTCTAAATATATATTTAATGAAAAATATTAAAAAAATCACACCTTATTGACGTGGATATTTTTAAAATTTTATTTGAAAAATGTTAAAAAAAATTAAATTAGATAAATTTAAATTTCAATTAGCAAATGATAAGCAATATAATCAAATTGATATTGGTAAAATTTTATAATTAGATATGAATTTATTAGCATTCTTATAACTTTTTTTTGGTTGGTGGGATTAAAGAGCTTAATAATAATAATAATAATAACAGCTTCACTCATGGGATTGGGGCACACTGGGCCAAAAAATAAGTGAACCCAACCAACCAACCAACCAATCTATTGGCTTAAGTACCCAAAGAGCTAACTGTTTTGCTCTAGGTAACACTAGTCACTCGTTAAATTTCTATAAACAGACAATTAAGGTGGGAGGATGTAATTACTTGCTTGAATGCCTTGTGACTGCACACCTACATGAAATTATTCTTCACTTTATTGTCATTATCGACAGTGCTTTGCTGCAATATTTACACAATGAAGTAATTAAGACAATTGTGCAAATTTTGCCTGTAAAATTCTTGTGAATCTAATCTAATATGCTTACAACAAACAACATTATGGAGAAAATTATGAACCAGAATTTCCTCAATTTTTATGCCATGAGATCACTTCTATACAATTCATCAGTATGGAGAAATTTTTCAGAGAAAAGATAAAAACCCAGAAATAGCTAGCTTGAAGGATAGTACATGCAAAACCATTTAAGAATGAGAGAACTGATCAGAGACTGATATTGAAAATCCATAAACACATACACTAGTTCATTGGGATCCACTGTTTTTCTTTCTGCCATTTCTCTTTGCAGTAACAGTGACCTTGTCGTCAACTTCGCCTTCACCTTTCTCAGACATTTGTTCATCTTTCTCAGACATTTTTTCACCTTTCTCAGAAATTTGTTCATCTGCAAGAGTTTTTGAGGTACGTATCTGATGCCTTAACCGCAGTATTTCACCCTTGGCAAGTGCCAAATATTCGTCAAGTTTCCTTCTTTTCTTCTCCAAACTATCCCTTTGTTTGCCAAGCATCAAGAGCATGTTATGAGCATCTTCCAAATTCGCTCGAGCCTCTTTCACTGCATTTTTTTCTCCTGTCAGGGACTCGTAAAGGACCTGTTTGTCATCTTCAAGGCTAGAAATCTTAGAATTAGCTATCTCTAGCTCCCCAGAAAGCATCAGAGCACTTCGATTCATCTCACTCAGGGTTTTAGTAGTTTCTTCTAAATCTTCTTCGAGAGATTTTCTTGCTTCCCTATCCTTCATGATTTGCTTCTTCAGGTTTTCTAGTTCTTTGTTCAAAAAAGAAACTACCTTTTTCTCTTCTCTTAGGTCATTGGCTGCAACTTCAGCTTTCTTATAGACATCTACCAATTCCTTCTGCACATTATCATGACTTTCTTTCAGTGCTATCAATTCGCGGGACACTATTTGCAGCTCCTCCTCAGATTTTCGCAGCTGTTCCTTTGCCACTGTTACTTCACCAGCTAACACTTCACCACTTTCTTTTGCCTTCTCAAGGGTCTTCTCCATTGTTTCTTTAGCTTCAACAAACTCAGCCTGAACTCTAGAAACTTCAGCCTCAAGCTCAGTGCACCTGCTTTGTGAATGCTCGAGTTCTCTTTCCAGATCAGAAGCCTCGTTTCTAGACTTGCCAAGAGCTTCATGAGCGCTTTGAAGTTCATGTTTCAGATCTTTTACGTTGTTCAATTCTGTGTCAAGCATTTTCCTCAAATCTTCCTTTTCTTGGATTAAATTTGCGACCGTTTCTTGGCTTCTATTCACTTCATTTAGAGTGAGCTCAAGCTTTTTCTTTAGTTGGTGTAGCTCATCTTCTCTTTCTGCCAACAGCTTAGCATCTGAAGCAGCCTTCTTTTCAGAAGACAACTTCAGATCATTGTATTCCTCCTGAACAGCATTGAGCTTCTTGTTAGATTCATCTCTCTCAAACATTAAAGAACTCACTGTAGAATTTAGTTCATCCACCACAGAATTCTTTGATTCCAGTTCCTTTCTATTTTTCAGAAATTCATCTTTCAATGCATTGATTTCTTTGTGTGCCTTTACTAGTTCATCCTTCGTTTCCTTGAAGGAAGAATTCAAGTTCTTCAACTCTAATTCCTTTTCGGCAAGTAAAGAGGTGAGATTTTGAACAGTATCTTCCTTATCCTTGAGCTCTAAACTAAGTGAGTTAATCTTATCTTGTAAAATTTCAATTGAATTAAGCTTTTCATTTAATTCTTTTTCAAGAGCTCTCTTATCTTCCTCAGCCTTTGAGATGTTCGATTCTAGACCATCTATTTGAACATTAAGATCGTCAATTACTTTTTTCTCATTTGTCAGCTCCTGCCCCAGTCCTGTAATTGTACTGTCAGCAGAGTTCAGTTGGTTTAACAGAACCTGTTGTTCTTCCTTTGCTTTTCTGAGAAGCTTTGCACCCTCTTCCTGTTCTTTCAATAGCATTGTTTCGAAGTTCTTCTCTAAGGACACAATGGCAGCTTCCTTCTCTTTCAATTTGGCCGTTAGCTGTGCATCCCACCAGTTCATGTGTTAATTGAGAAAAAATCAATATGCAAAAAATACCAAATGGCATTAAACCATAAGAAACAAGTTTCAACCTATAGACTCTAGATTATGGAGAAATCCAGGATATTTTTCCACATTGAACATGTCAAAAGATAGAGAGACTTTTTGGGGAAAAGGTCTTTAGATATTCAAAGGAGTGAGAACGGGTGTTTGTCTTAGATTCTCTCAAAAGGAGAATCCCCTACTGGTTGGTCCTTGAATATTCAAAAGCATCATCGTATAATCAGGTTGTATGAAAACAAGAAACAAAAAGATCAGAAGTGACTTACAGATTCTACTGTTGTTTCAGTAGCTTTCTTCTCTTTCTGGGACAACGCATAGAAGGCACCAAGCACGCCAGTCCCAAATATACCAAGTCCATTCAGGAGAGAAAGAAAGGGATTTGGTGGTCTATATTTTTGAATTGCAAGCTGCCAAAACCACATAAAAAATTAAGAAAATTTCAAACTTAAAAATGCCAAAAGTTACTAATCTAGATTTATTTGTAATGAAGCAGAGACCTCTTCTTTTTGGTTATCTTCAGGTTTCTTGAGCTCATCTTCTTCTGAATAAACAAACAAATGCATAAACAGTTAAAGAATGAGATGATAGAGATGGCATACCAAAAGCAACAACTGTAATCAAGAAAATATTAGCCCTTCAAAGCGAGAGACCAAATCACGCGGAATAGCAATATAACTTTCTAATAAGTAAGTTCCAAAGCATAAATGTTGAATGAGAAATTAATCATCAGAAGCACGGGGTAAAGCCTTGTAAAAAAAACCTTCATTACACATATGATATGTAATATTCACCCAACATCTTCATTATATAAGTATTAAAATAATGAACTTTTTCATTTTGTGTTAGACTTTCCCAGATGTACTAGGGCAACAACTACTAAAAGATAGGAAACTAACTAGTAAGGTCATTCACATAGCGATACTATGAATCAGTTTATCCTTCACTCAAAATAAATAACTCTGAAAGAAAATGAAATATTTGTCAATAAACAGTCTATTGAGATTAAAAATTGTTTATTGTTATATAGTTATAACTTATAATTCTCACTTCCTCCTATTTTCTTTTCTTATGATAATAATTCTCTACATTTATGATGTCCGATTCATTCTCTTTGTTTCAGTTCAAATAAGCATTCCGAAGATTTTCGAAACCATAAATCATTTTATTGTTTTACTTACTCAACTTCATTCGGTGAATTATCGCCTTACTCATAATTTGACGCGCTACCTAATTATTCAGTTCATTTCCCCATTTTGCTTCTTGATTATGCACCACATTCCAAACCCTTAACTACTCCAATAAGAAACCTATAAGTCTATAACACAATGCAGTTAAGGCAATGAAAGGACTGTTCTGATGTAATACATTTTCATAAATATTCTACTGAAAATTCTAGACCCCAGAAATAATAAATTTAACTTGCATTTATTAACTCATTAAAAATGTGTAAAATATCATAACTCAACCGGAAGTTACTATAGGTCAGTCCAGGACAAAAGAGTAAAGAACATCAAGATGGTTATACTAATATTTGTAAACCAAATAACAACTCAAAGAATGCATTATTCATAAGCCTAAACCAGATGCCATAATTCAATATGATACAAGAATAAAACCAATGTTTACCCTACCTCATGATCAATAGACAAAAAAAATACAAAGATAAAGCCAATAATACTTGAATTAGCAAGAATACAGCCAATTGTTATACTTCGTTTCAATAAAAAATGTGAAAATCCATATACCCAATACAACAATTTAACAAAATCAATAACAAAACTCGACATTCCGTATACCAGAAATCGAAAATAATTGAAAAAGGCAAATGAATTACAAGAGAAAAAAAAACACTCACTTAGAAACGAACTTTCAATAGCTCTGGCCCTCGGCTGCAAGAAGGGAAGAACTGAAATACTCACTAAGAAAACCGCTCGTTTATTACTAAAAACTATGTCATCTGAATCTTCTTGGCGCCCACAAGAAACAATCTTTACCCTCTTCTTTCTGTTGGTTTCCGCATTATTATGCCTCGCATGAAAAAGAACAGAACGTGAAGGAGAAGAGGAGGAAGGGAAGCAAGACTGTAACAAGTTTGAGCTTCCCATTGCAAAACCCATGGCTTCGGCTTTTGGGTCTGGTATCTTGATGGAGATAAAATGGAAGCAGGATCAGCCTATAAGACTATTAACTGTTTGGAAAATACTTGCTCTATTTTTTCTTTATATATCATTTCATTCAGACTTTAATTAATTATTAGCGCTTGTTATGACATTTTCGCCCCTTTTAGTACAAGTAATTATAAAAAATTAGAGGGTAATATAAGTATTTGTTGTGGGTATAACAAAGTCTTCCTTAGAAATTGTCCTTTATGAAGTATTTTGTTTCTTGTTAAAAAAATTATTCTTTTATTAAAAAAAATTGTATTTCAGGTCATTTTATTGGTTAAATACTGATCCAGACGTATAAAAAAAAAAAAAAGAAGAATTAATTTTTTTTTTAAAGACAATAATTTTCTTTATGAGACCACCAATTTAAGACTCTGAAAATGTTTGCATTTAAAGCTAAATTGATTAACTCTTTGTTACAGAAATTTAGAATAATGTTTGGGTTTACATTTTTACAGGCATACATACTTTCGAATATACGCTTTTGAAATTGAGGGAAGAAAATAATAAATTGGTAAAATTTTTTTAATAATGTACAGATAAAAATAAAAAAATAGTAATTTTTCTTTTAATAATTTAGTACACAAAAGATCAGTCACTTCTGCAATTTAGTGCTAAAACAATGGGTTCTTCTCAATATGGTCCACAAATATTGGATGATGCACTTTCTCATTTCATTTATGCTAGTAGAACTAGAAATTGACAAGGAAAAAGCACTTTTATCTTCAACCTGGGAAGGATAAGTTGCCAGTTGCCACCGCATAGTTCAGTAAATTAGAAAGTAGGTTTTTATTTTCTCTTTATTTTCTTTTTCTTTTCTAAAAGGTATATTTTTCTTTCATAATTTTCACCAATTTATAAAAACATTTCAGTATATATATATATATATTGGTATAATTAGGAGGTGTAATCCTCCTTGGCCATAGAGTATAAAGATTTTTGGTGTTCTCACCCGTAAGGGGTTGAGGTCGCTTACCACCTCAACTGACACCTTGTTGGTAGTAAATATATATTTATTAGTATATATGTTTTTATACTTAAATTGAGAGTAGTACTTAGATAAATATCTCCTTATAATAAGGTATATTATTTATTAGTTTACAACAAAAAAAAAAAAAACTCAATTCTGATTTTTTTATTAATATAAAATTTAATAGATCGGAAGAACAGCCAGTATAACTCTCGTTTTGAGTAACATTCACTAAATTGGTTATAACTTTTACGGTGAATAAGACTTGACGTCAAAACTTATTGCTCCCAACATATTTTACAATGTAGGAGAATACCAAGCAAACCGTACTTAATTGGTACTAAAAATTTATTATTATGATTTATGTCTATTATTTTTTATTCATTTATTTATTGTTTTGAGTGAAGGTATTAAAATTATCTTAGTTGTTAATGAAGCATCACATAACATAAAATAAATAATAAAAAAGAAGAACAGAAGTCGAATAGTGTTGGGGTTTTATGTTGTGTCCTCAATCTTTTTCAGTTTATTCTCCCGGAGTCTATCTAGCATATTTGCATGGGTAAAGAATCAAATTATTGAAATCAAAGGTTACTACTATAAGTAATTAGTTAAGTGCAGGTCAAAAGAGAGCTGACTGATTTCATTTTGTTCTTCAAAGGAGGTAGTTGATGTTCTGACATCCCATCATCTCTAATCAATTATTCTCTTTATAGAATATAAGAATCTTACAACTTTATTTTTGAGTGGTAAAGGAAGACATGAGATTTGTAACCATCAATCTTTTTTTTAGAGCAGTAATAACAAGTGCAAATTGCAGTTTCTGGTTTAGGTCTAATATTCCAAAACCCTTTCAGGTTTATACTTATTTTTGTATGGTAAGTTGAGATTTAAATGAGCTACATATAGGAATAATTCCTTTTTTTTTTTTAATAAAAATGTATGATATGTGCTTAAAATCAATTGAAAGATTGCATGGGATTTTGTCATTCCTTTTACACACTGTGGATGATTGTTTAAATCTAAAATTTATTATCATGAGCCAACCACTTCCAATGGTTTGTTTTCATAGCCATTGGCATTGACTACCAAGTTATGTGTGGGGTTCAAAGCTCCCAAATATCAGACAATTTCATTAGACCACTAACGTTGGCTTTTTTAAAAAGAATGGTTGTCCACCAAGCTGTTTTTTCCCCTGAAGAAAATGAAAATTTTGTAGTTTCAAAGTGCGAAGTCACCAAGTAAAAATTTAATAAGATATTATCTGTGCGCGAAAAATCTGACATTTATGGACTCTGAAAACGATTAATATATGCAGATTTCCCTTACTTTTGCATTGAGGTTGTCTATACAGCGCAAACCCATGACCTTCAAATTACAAGTGAAGTAATTTTACTGTTACACCAAAGCCACCATCCTACTCAGACTAGCCAATGAAATTGAAATATGATACCAAAACCAAATCCTATACCATAGGCTTAAAGCAATGTAGTTTTCTAGTATGGTATTTGACATATATAAAGAGGCTATAAGCTATAAGCTATCATTCTATTAATTCACAACATAATTTAGCCCTACCAATCATTTCAAGCTGAAGAATGCTTTTTAGTTCCTCATAGAACAAAGAAATGATAAGAAATTTGTCAACTGAATATCAAGAGAATGCCATTTGATAGAGAAATGTTGAATATAGTTAATAATGAGTTCAATAGCTTCAAAGGACAACTACATGAGCTCTTGATTGACTGACAAAGAAAACTGATGAGCGAGGGCTCTTGGCCGCTTCCAACCCATCTAATTGAAAACATAGAAATAACAACAATCTATGAGAAAATTTATGAATTATGCCTCAACTGCGAAAAAAGAAGACCCTATGTTGTTGCTACCCAGGACTCATTAATACCATGAAAGTTGAAACACAATAAGAAAACATAATGATTCACCTTTGTGATCATCCATGGCTGCAAAACAGATACACATAAAACAGCTCTTTGAGAACAGATGATCCAATTTTTTAACTTGGAGACACAAGAGCCTGAGGAAAGCAACATCAGCCCATTATATAGTACCAGGCATACCCATTAGGAAAACATCCTCATGGTAGCTGGACTCAGGAGAGCTTTTGGGGGAATTGTTACAAGTTTTCTCTGTTTCATCCTCAGCAAAAATCTCCTCAGAGCGGCAATCAAAACTGCAAAAAGCTTTCTCACCTCTGCAAAACATAAAAATAACAACAGAGTCCATGATAGTAAACTAGCTTTAAGCCAGAATTGGAATAAGGCCCTTCATAAAGAAATGTCCAGGGGATATACCTGTAGATATGAATGTCATCACCCTCCAACTTTTTCTTGCAAGAATAACAGAAGCTCAAGAACTCATCAGATGGATAAGGAGTTGAACCCTCAGGGCAATTAGCCTCTTGAGGCAATTCAGACCCCAAATTTCCTAGCTTGTCAAAATTGGACAACTCATTTGTGTGACATTCTAAAATACAGTCACCAAAAATGTGAGTTGTTTTTGGGTTTGGACCATAAGAAATTATGCAAGTATAATCTTCAGAAAGCTCAATCTCACGCGCAGAGAGAGAACCTACATACCCTTGGCTAGAGCCAACAGGTACTGGAATAGAACTTGATTTGGTTTCCAAAGGATTATCTGTTTGTAGACCTCTGCCAGTAATCAATGGTAAACTAGTTATACTAGTAGTTCTATTCTCTGAACAAAACTTTTTAGAACTCAAAGGGGATTTTGGGGATAAGCTAATTGGAGAAGAGTTTTCAAATGGTTTAGGTTCTGACTGGACTCCATCATTCCCAAAGAGAGCATCAGAATCTGATTTACAAAATTCAAAGTTAGGAGTTTTCGTTTGTGATAGCAGTAAAAGCATGTAGTCTCTTGGCAGAGAGTTTGATCTCACAGAATAACCAGTCTTCACCTGCGAACCAAAGATTATATTCTTCCTCTTTGGTGAATTAAGAACTTCACTAGTTGGTTTGGTTTCATCAGCAAGTAAATTTATGATGCTGAGGCCTACTTTACTGCTATCCCATTTCTTTTGATAGCCATTTTGGTTTGGTGGTGATCTTGGGGACTTGTGGCTAAATGGATTGCTAAGGTTTGAGAAAAAACTGAAATCAAGAGGAGAAGTTGGGCTCCTAACTGAGTCAGATTCTGTTGAACCTCTAGAACCAAATCCCACAAAGAAACCAGGAAGATTGAAAAATGAACTGCTTGTATGTCTCAGACCCAATGCATCAGATTGGCAATGGGACTCTGGAGCAGAATCAGCCATTAAATTGAAAAAGCATGCCCCTTTTTAACATGATCTGTTTCTCCTAGTGAGCATCATTAAGAACCTTCCAATCCTTGAAGCACAAGACCGGCAAATTCTTGCTGTAATATTTGAATCTTAAGAAATCAAGAAAAGCAGAAACCATAAAACTAAGTAATAATAGCGCCAAAATGTGACCAATTAACGCAGGAAACAAAGCATTTAATGGAATTGTATCAATGAACAAGATATCAGAAAATTGCCCTATGAAGCCAAATCTTTGGTCCCAGTAAAACTCCAAAATGAATTGAGACATTTATGAGCTTTGAATGACATCTGAGAACCACATTAAAACAAGTTATCAACAATGGAAAGGCTCCTTAACCTTGCATACCCATAAAGGTACTAATCAGATGGAATCAATAATAATAAAAACAAAAGAGATTAAATACCCACAACACAATTCATAAATTCAGGACCAGGAATCCTGTAGGCGCAGGAACTTCAAGAGAGACAAAAGGAGGCAAAAAAGATTTCTTAATCAAAGAATCAATAATTTGTCAGCCATGACCTCAAAGAAAGACTTAACAAATACTAATTTATAGATTTTTGCACAATAATTTGTAAGCCGTGGCCTCAAAGGAAGACTTCACAAATACTAATTTATAGATTTTTGTACACAAATAAGTTCTAATACAAGCATGCATAGAAAATAAGTGAATCTGAGCCATTTTAATATCAAAATGGAAAGCAATCCAGATGACAGAAGATCAAAATAAAATTTTTGTGACGATCAAAGAACCCCAACTCTCCGCTTCCCCCTTTACCAAAGACAGGTCTAAAATAACAGAACAGCTTCGTTACATTTTGTTCATTGAATCCATATCAGAGAACTTTCTATAACAATGTGTTATCATACGCCTGACGAGATCAAATGCATCAGCGATACTATAAGACACACAGATTTAGATTTCCACACGAAATCAATCAAAATCAAGCATGCACAAAAAGATAAAAAAGTTCAACAGACCTTAGATAATTGATTACTTTATCCCTCAAATTCCATGAAAGGGTGCTTAAAATTAACATCAGATCAATGTTTTTAACACAGAGATCCGCAGCATGCATAAAAAATAACCTCAAGAACAAAGAAAACCGAGTAAAATACTCTGATAATGAAAAAATAGATAACTATAGCATAAAACCAAGGCCAAAGATTGAAACTTCAAAACATCCAGGCACTAATGCATCAAATGGATCACTGATATAAGCTATAAAATGAAGCAAAATAGTAAAAAACTTGAAGACCCACCTGGGTTCCCCTCTTAAAACTTCAAAGAAGAGCCAGAGAGAAACTCAAATGCAAGAAGTAGGGACATGTACTGATATAGACAAAGCACAAGCACAGCTCTTCCTGTATATTTCTTATTTTGTTAGTTTATTTTTTAGTTTTAATTTTGATTTTAATTTTAATTTATCTCTTGCATCAAAATCAGAGAAGCAGTGAAGCACTGAGACTTCTGATATACATACGCACAAGCGCACTCTCTCTGTCTCTCTCATATGATTAGCAAGGAAATTCGTATAGTACAGTATAGTATTAAACTACGTATATTCTTTGTTTTGTAGTTAAAGAAAGTACAGCTTTTATTAAATGTATGCATTTACACCCAAAGAAGTTGTACACTGCAAATCTCACTGTAGATCTTGAGAATCGGATGCCTGCAAATACAATGTATCGAACTACTTTTTCCTTTTTTTTTTTTTTTAATGGATACATAGAGGTGCCCTTTTTCCACTTGTCTTCTAAAAAACATTTGTATCAATGAAATTAATAATTTAAATTTGACAATCATAAATTATTAACTATTTTATGTAAAATAAATTTTTAAATATTTTATTTTAAGTTTAATTACATTTAATATCAATGTAATATTATATCTATTCATATAATTATAAATTAGAATAAATATTCGATTAAATGTAATCTAATCAATTTTTTTACTTGTTTTTATACAATAAAATAATTCAAAACATATATTTTTTTTTGTTTACTTTTTGCATGGGATGATAAAAAGTTAGGAGGAAATAAAATAAAAAGTGAGAAACAAGAATTAATTTGATTTAAAAAAAAATTATTTTTTTAAAAAAATTTATTCTTCAAATTAAATAAAATCAAATAATAATTTTATTTTCTTTCTAGATGCAAATACAAGAAAGAAAAATACCTCATATTTAATTTCTTAGTCTAATATGAGTAATTAATCCACTTAATTTTTTAATATCATATCATGATTCTTTATTCTTTTTCTTCTTTTCTTTTTAATATTAAGCCTTGACCATACAATATTGCTTTCTCCCAAGTTGAAATTGTGTTGTGTCAACTTTGATTTGACTCGTGTTAGATTTGTGTACACAATAATGGTCCTTTGTGTTATACCTTAGATTTTCTTTCTTTTAAAAAAAAACTCAATGCATTTATTTACCTTTTTTTTTTTTTTTTTTTTTTTTTTTTTTCCTCTCCCAAGTTGAATTGTGTTTTGTGTCACTTTGATTTGACTCGTGCTTAGATGTTGTGTACAAATAAATGGTCCTTTGTGTTATACGCTTAGATTTCCTTTCTTTTAAAAAAAACTCAAATGCATTTATTTACCTTTTTTTTTTTTTTTTTTGTTTTTTTTTTTTTTTTTTTTTTTTTTTTTTTTTTTTTTTTTTGAATCAGTCAGCACAAAAAGACAAAAGAGGACTTGTTGTTTTCAACTCACCAAACGGCATTAACCTAACGGCGATGTTTTCAAGTCACAAAAGAGGACTTGTTTTGCTGTTAATTTTTCAGTATTTTATTATAATTTTAAATTGTTAAGAGTGGATTTTTTTTTATATTTATCATAATTGAAATATATAATCTCATATTATAATTAATTTAGTGATTTTTGGAATTTATTAAATACAATATGATCAAAATCGTCATTAAATTTGTTTTTTTATGTCTTACCATCTAAAATTATCAGGAAGAAATAGATATTAAATTTTAATTCATAGGATCCTAAATTGTGAGTATATTTGTTCATTAGCCCATTGTTAAAAAGTTAATATTACACAAGTTCACAAAATAAATAATAAATTGAAACTTTAATTTGGATTTTATTTTTTCGATAAAATTTAGTATGATAAGTGTCATTATAACATTTAAGTGTAAGTAAGACGATTTGAACTTTCCTGTTAATTGTTTTGATAAATTATTTAAACTTTTAAACTTATTTGTATCCTTTTAAAAAATGTGAAAAAAAAATATTAATCATATATAATTTAAGTTTTTTTTTAATTTTAGGTAAGAAACAAAGAGTTTTTGGGTTTTCTAATTATAAATCATTAATTTGATGAAAATTATTAAACAAAAATGATTATTTCAAATTATATAATAAAAATATTCTAATACATTTCGGCCAAATAAATAAAAAATAAAAAAATAAATTATTTTTATTTTCTGAATTAATGATTATTTTATTAGAAGAACAAGTATATGATCTATTATAATTAATAATTTTAAATAAATTGTACCATAATTATTTTGAAAAGAGTAATAATTACTCTTTTTTTTTCAGTAATTTGTACCATATATTGCTCATTTGCTTTGTGCCGTAATTGTTTTTCAGTTTTTCTTTTATCTATACTAACATAATTACTATCGTTCTATATAATTTCTAAAACTTATCTTATCACATTTCTCATTCCTTTTTTAAATTTAAATAACAAATTAATAAAGAAAAAATTATTAATATTGAACTATCTAGGTGATATAAATAATTATTTAGTTAAATTAAATATTATTTTATTATAATTTATAATTAATTTTTAATCACATTACAAAAACTTTAAACCACAAATAAATTTACAGTAAGAGACTATTTTATTTCTTAATCGTCATCTTGTTGCTGCTTTACTTTATATGCTTGAAATAAGTCGAGATTTTAATGTAATTAATAATATCAAAATCTTTTTTTTTTTTTTTGAATAATATCAAAATCTTTTTTTTTTTTTTTGCATAATTTCTCCTTATTAAAAATTACTTCCAAAGAAATCTGGCTTTGCCTATTTTTTTTTTTTTTGCATAATTTCTCTTAATTAAAAATTACTCCAAAGAAATCTGGCTTTGCCTAGTTATATTCAATACAATAAATAATGAATTATTAGAATGTTGCCTAGTTATATGGTCAGAATACAAAAGAGAGATTTTTTTTCTGTTTGATCAGAATAGATATATATTTTTATCAAACAAAAATATAAGTTGACAAATAATTTTATTATGAGTCTTATAATTTCTTATAATTTTGAAAATATAATGTCAGTGTAATTAGAAAGGTCAAAAAAGGTATTTTACTTTTTTCTAAAGAAAAAAATAAAGAAAAGGTTCATCAGACTAATTACAGGGGAAAAAACCTTGGACGTTTTCTGTAAAATTTCAGATTTGTAGGAAATAATTTAAAATTATAGTGTTGCTATTTTAAAATTGTAAATTTAATCGCTTAATTTTAAAACTCGATGTCGCTTCCGGTACGACCTCGTAACAGGGAGCTGTCGCCTAACGGCGTCAACATCGCTATCGGGTTCATGATTTTGTGGGTCCCACAAAAGAACCCCACAACAACGTATCAGCATTGAAATGATTCCCTCAGCACCGTTTCACCTGTTATTTACAGTTCTGTATTGTCGTTTTGTGTGAGTCAGCTTTTTCAAAATTCTATAAACCCCTTTTTAAAATCAAAAGTGCAATCACACGCGTAGGTTTCTGTTACGGTAATCCAACGGTTTGGAGTGGAGATTCTCCATCGGGATTTCAGTTCATCTCACGGTAAAAAAACTCTCGTTTGGGGTCCACCACACGTGTTTGGCATGTGATGGAGCGATTGATTGATTGCATTGTGATCTGTTGGATTTCTGGAGTGACGTAACGTTAGGCGTGTTGCGGATCACAAGGAATTATGCTTCCTGGTAAATCGAGCGTGCAAAATGGGACTATAAAAGGTCAAAAGTTATTATTATTATTATTTTTTTTTTTATGAGAAGAGGTACAAACGTAAGTTACCAATCCTTAAATAATTAAATTAAAAAATTAAATTTAGATAAAATATGAGTATTATATTTAAGCAACACGGGATATGAAAAAAATTATAGGAAAGCTAATCAATTGGTAATTTAATTGGTCTTCTTACCGTGTGAAAAGTGGAATATTTTGAGTTGGGGTCCTCTTAGTTGCAAATTTCGAATTCTAGTCCTCTCGACTACAGTTGTATTCACCAGTTTGGTGAGCCAACAGGAGTAGTCTGTATTATCATTTCTGCTGTAAAACCCTCCAATGAACGAAGAAAAAAAATACTGCAAAACCATTATTATTAATACATCTTCCCAATGTAATTTTTTAATTTTAATAATAATTAATTGATCATTGATAAATCATTTTCATCTCAAATTAACCTATAACAGATAAAATATTTTATTAACCAATGTGAATAGTCAAAGTGAAGTGTATTTCATTTGTGATTTTTACTTATAAAATCAGAAGTTTAAAATTCAAAATTATTATTATTAAGACCACTTTGTCTAAATATTCATCAGAACACAAAACACATTTGTAAATTTTAAAAAAAAAAATCAAAATTACATCACATTTTATAATAAAATAATTGCAAAATTCGCATCATACCATTACGATAAATATTACACCCTTCACTATATAATTTTTTTTTTAATTTCTAATATATATATGTATAGGATAAGACTTATCTAAAAGGATGTTTTAAAAAATTGCTACTAATTTATTCGTATATTTTCCTAGTGAATAGTTATGATCCATTTGAGCAAAAAATTATCATTTTTTACTTTGATACATGGATGGTCTTATATATCAGATGTGGGTAAGTATTTCATACATATATTTATTTAAAATATCCATAAATTTTAATTTATTTGTAGTTTTAACCCTTCTTTTATATATATAAAAAAATTATATATTGACCTTGAAATTTTTTCCACAACTTATTTTTCAAAAAATAAACATTGTTTGTTGAAACAATAAGGCTTCAGTGATGTGGATATAGAAATGGATTGTAGAGAGGTGTGGTGTAACCTTTTTTATTCAAGCATTCCCAATAATGAATATGGTAATATCATTAATGATTGTAGGCTATTATTGTCACGACCCGTTTCCATGGGCCGGACCGGCACTAGGGCCCAGATAAGCTTAAGGCTCCCGAGGCCCGTAGTAAGCCTGAATCACTAATAACTATTATCTCAATATAATATTTAAAACATTCAGCCTATAATTATAGAATAACTATTATCTCAATATAATATTTAAACCATTCAGCTATAATTATTAGCCTATAATTATAGAAAAATAAACCTTAAGATTCTATTAAATTTCGGCCCAAATTTATCAATTACAACATTTCCACAGTTCGGGCCCAATTAACAATACATTATATTTTTAATATAGGCTCACATAATTACATCGTCTATGTTAATACACGACTAATTGCACACAAATTCTACAACTGCGGAATTCACTAACAGATGTATACAGATAAGTCTTTAGACATTTATCTACTTAATATATCAACATTAAAATTAAAGAATCTCTTTTTAACAGTGAAGGAGTAGAGTTATAGCTGGGATTTAGAAAATGCTACTTCCTGGAAGATTTAAACAAGAGATGTGAGTTTATTAATGAATAATAATTATTGCACAATACAAGTGCAGAGAACGCAGTCACACAAATTGTCATGAATATATCAATCTAGTCATGCCGACTAGTTATATGCCTCACAACACCCAGCCCAGTCACAGCCAAATGGCATATTCACCAGCACTCACAATTAATTAAACATCTTCATATATCACATCACGTGAAAAATTAAGTCAGTGGGATGTCACCGAACCCCGCCGATGAGCGTCCTCGCCACATGGCCCACCTCTCACGTGTGCACCAGGGAGCCGATCCCCATACCCTGGCCGGACCCGGTCTAATCCTCAACTTGACCAAGCCCTCGTCTTGTTTTCCATTCTCGTCTTTTCTTTTTCATACCAAACAGGAGGAACCCGGTGGTCTCGCATCCAATCTAGATCATCAAGCGCTCAAACAGGAGGCCACCGCTGCGGGCCTGCAATCAAATCTAGACTGTCCGGTGCGCCAATCGACGAAGAAATAGCCAACCCATGGTAACGGTAAACGGTAAACGTAGGTGCACAACGGGGGCGCCGATCTCGCCCAATTTACCCGGCTAACGGTAATGGATCCATATAACATAACGGTATATAACGGTACGGTAATCAAGGACCATATAACGTACGGTCTCCACCCATGGTGACCCACTTCCATCCCCAATTGCCACACAAGCCAAAGCAAGCAATATCACAACAACAATTAATCAACATTGCGATTAAATGCAGCACATTCGATCAAATTACATATTGGACTGCAATGTCAATTAAAACCATCCATTCCTCAATGCAATTAAATACATTAAATAAATAATATTAACAATTAACAAGGGCAACGATAATAAATAATAAAAATAAAATAAAACTATGATAATGAACAAGGTTAGTTAAAGGCACTTTATTTATTATGTATCAATTGGTAGAATTTATAAGCTTATTTGTTATGTTTTAATTAAAAATTTGTCCTAAATTCTGTCATTTCGGCAGCCCTCCCCCCTAAAATTGGCTATCTAATATCACAATATTATCATATCTTTATCAATCAGTGCACACAGCCCATCCGTCGGGCAATCAATCAATTTAAAATCTCATCCTCCTTCCAAAAACAATAATATCAACACTCAACTAAAAATTTACAAACTAATTCTAATAATATCCATATAAGATCATTTATTAAGTCATTAGTTAACTAAATTATTAGCTTTACGATAACTAATTTGTTAAACGGCTAAAACATATTTTAATAATAACTAATTATAACTACTACCTATTAAAATTCGGTTTTTATATCAATATCAAAAATGGCTAGGCCTCCCAAATCTTAATTAATCAAAATTTCGGATCTAACCTCTAGTCGTTAACCAACTAAAATTCGCCTTATTTCTCTTATGCACAATCGGCTAGTTTTAATCTAATGGTTATCTAATTGACTAATTAACTAATTCTAATTTATTCTTTCTCCTCAAATCACCTAATCATAATATTAATCATGTAATTTATTTGACAATGTTCTAAACTAATTTACAATTACATTATTCTAAAGTCCTAAACCAGTTAACAAATTATGTTCGCTATCCAAATACGCACACTAATCAATCTAATTTATTTACAAAAGACCATAAATGTTCATATATTTTTAAGTTAATCCAATAAGTTAATGTCTTGTTATTCAATTTAGTCTAGTTAATAACTCAATTAAATTCATTAATCAATTAATGCTTTATATATAAAAATTGAGAATTAAGTCTTAGAACGTACCCATTGGGAATCGGGCGACGATTCCATGATTAGCGGGAAGAGAAGAGGATTCTGTCTCTCGGGGCCTCGCCGGAGCGCCGCCGGCCGGTCACCTGACCGCCGCCGCCGACCGCCGTGCACGGTGACCGAGTGCCGCCGGCCGTCACCGGACGCGCCACCGCCGACCGCTCTGCACGGCGGCCCGGAAAGTGAAACCCCGCCAGAAAATTGAAGGGTCACCACCACTCGCCTTCCAATTTTCGTAAGGAATCCAAATCTGCTATCACTTGTTGAGCCAGTGCCCTTGTTTGGCCGGATCTAGCTCCACAGCAACCTTCAAGCCCGCCGTCCATGGGGTTTTATCAAAACTCCAACATCACAAATTAATGGGGGAAAAAGGTTCATATGTAGGAGAGGAGTTGTTTGAGACCAACCCCAGCACTTGGAGTCGACGGAATTGATGAGATTTCGTCGGAAAACTTCATCGCGCGGTGGACAGCCTTCCAATCGCGATCTCTCTCAATTTCAGGCCTCATCACGCGAACTAAGACCATAGAAGAGTTCATCTCGACAAGAGGAGCAAGATGGAGTGCTTAGTGTCGACTTCCATGGCTGGTGGACGGAGATCGTAGTGAGCAAGAGAGGGGAGGATGTCGCGCGAGGAAGAAGAAGAAAGGAGAAAGAAGAAGGGAGGAAGGGGGGGGGGAGGGAAAGGAAAAGAAAAGAGAAAAGGAAAGAAAGTGGCTTCTAGACCATTCCGGTTCGATTTGAACCGGTTTGGTCTGATTTTTGTTTGGTTTTCGAGTTTTTTCACTCGATTTTTGGATTATTCGTGGGGTTTTCGACAATTCAAATTGATTCCGGGTCCAATTCGATTTATTTAATTATTTTAGTTGGGTCATAAAACATTTCTTCAACTTACTTTCTAATAATACAACAATAATAATAACACTAAGTTAATTCAGGATAATTAGTTTATATAGTAGCATTCCATTTTATTTCATCAAAATTTCCGGACAGTCTGTTTATTGGGCTTGGGCCCAATTCAAATTTGGGCTCAAGTTAAACTTGTTTGGGCCCAATTCAAATTTGGGCTCAAGTTAAACTTGCTCAGTCTTAACAACCCATACTATCAAAAATTCGGATTTTTGATTTAATAAAAATTCCAAAGTTATGAAAATAAAATTTCGGGGTATTTCAATTATTAGTAAAGACCAAGATTTTTCAGGCTAAGTGGGTTCGATGACAAGCTAATATGACATTTTATTTTCTTGTTCGAGTGATTATTTTTCATATTTGTCCTATTGTTTATACGGATACTCTTTTAGTTCTGTTATCGATTTCTCAATTCTAATGTTTCTTTTTCAGGTTTCTTCACTTAGCATTAAGATTCTAGACACTGGGTGTATGGGATAGATCTGTTGGTCTGGGATTAGTATGGATCTTCCTGTTAAGTTTTTCATAGTATTTTCTAATAAAATTTAAATTTAATTATCAAAAAAAAAGAAAAAAAGAAAAAGAAAAAACCCAACCACCTCTTTGAAGACAGCCCAAATTATAGTTAAACCTAACCATACTCAAACAAGGCCTTGGAGTTTGGGCCTCCGGCCTGCACCAAAACCCACATCGAGAGCACCAGGCGTACGTTAGCAACTCTCTTTAATTCCCAATTTTTTACTCCATCTCCAATTCAACATTTTTTTCTGATTTCCATTTTTGATTTTCTTCGACAATCGTTTCAATTTCTCTTCGATTCTTGTACTTATGAGCTTAAATTGGAGTTCAGTATCAGGGAAAGTTTTCAGACTTTGGTTTCTTTGAAGTATCCAAAGAGATTTTTCTTCGAGGTAAGAACCATGGGCTTTGTTCATATTTGATTGAGATTTTAGCTTAAAAAAGTTTTACTGGTTAATCTTTTATGGTATTGAATTGTGGATTATGTTTTTACTGGTTTGATTATGTAGGAAGAGGGGGAATGATACTTTCAGCTAGAAGCATTGGGTTCTTTTGAAGAAGAAATTTTGAGGGTTTTGTTTCTTCTAGATTTGAATTTGATGGATTAGAAGAGTCTACTGATCTTGGACTAGAAAGTTCTTTGGTGAATGATGAGTCATGCGATTTGATTCTTTTACGTTATTTTTATTTCTATTGTATTTTACTATTTGGTTCTATGTTTTTGGAGTAGTTGGTCTTTTGGATGTGAGAAATGAAATTATCTTTTAACAAAAAAGGATTGGGGGTTCTGTTGTCTCTGGAACTGGGTTTAATTACGTAAGGGAATTGTGGAACTAAGGACGGCAATGGAAGCCCATTGGGTTCGTCGATCTGGAAACAATTGATTTGATGATGAATAGGGAAGTAGAAAGTGGGAGTGTGAGATGCTTTTTGAGGTGAAGATAATTGTTGTTGGTATTGGATTTTAATGTGAAGGAGAAATTGGTCAATTGAAGTTAGAAACTAAAGTAGCAGAGTAGTTTTGAGGGTGAATTTGAGGCTTCTTTTGTTCTTGAAGCTGAACTGTTCTTAAAAATGGATGAGACTGAAGATGATGCAAGGTACCCACCAAACCCATATGGTGTGAATCACCAGCAGCAGGGTTATGGTTCTTCGAACAGACAGAAACTTCCGGTGAGGAATGCTCCGTACTCTAGGGCAATTGGTAATCAATATGTTGATGACGAGGAGGAAGAAGAGAATGAAGAAGAAGAAGAAGATGAGGAGTTGGGAGAAGAAGATGGAGAGAATAATCAAAATAATGGTATCCGGTATGTGGGAAAAGATGTGGATGATGATGATGATGAAGATGATGATGATGATGAAGAGGACGCTGATGTTGATGAAGAAGAAGAAGAAGATGAAGATGACAATCAAAAGAATTTTAGGACTGATGATGTTGATTTGGAAAGGCACCCGAAAAAACGAAAGCTAAAGAGCTTGGTTTCGAGCTATGAATTTGCACCTCGTCTGCCAGCACCTCCTGTTACAGCCCCTTCGGCTCCAAAACCGTCATTTGCTGGGCGTAATCCACTCACTGATTGGACTGAGTATGAAACATTTGTTTTGCTGGATGCTTGGGGTGATAAATTTTTGCAACGGGGGAGGAAGAGTCTTCGTTCTGAGGAATGGCAAGAAGTTGCAGAGAAGGTATCGGAGGTATCAAAGATTGAGAGGACTGACACACAATGCAGAAATCGGTTGGATACATTGAAAAAGAAGTACAAGAAGGAGAAGATTAATCTAGCAGATACAGGCGGCAGTATTAGCAAATGGGTTTATTTCAAGAAGATGGATATGTTAATGTCGACATCTGCACAACAAGGTGGACTTTCATGTGGGGTGGACTCAGGAGAGTATGTTTTCATGAACCCTAGAGTATATCTAAACCGTGCAAATGGGTTGGACGAGATGAGGGATAGTCCAGGGAACTCGGAATCAGCTGAAGGGGAGGATGATTCAGATGGACTTCCACCCAAGAAGAGAAAGTCTGGAAGGGAACACAATGAAGGGTCCTCGTTTAGATTGCTTGCAGATTCTATTCAGAAATTCAGTGAGATATATGAGAAGATTGAGACTAATAAAAGGCAGCAGATGTTGGAACTCGAGAAGATGAGGATGGATTTCCATAGGGATTTAGAAATGCAGAAAAGGCAGATCATGGAGAGAGCGCATGCTGAGATAGCTAAAATTCGGGAGGGTGAAGATGAGGAGAACGAAGTCTCTGCTGATAATGCCAGTGGATAATGCTTTCTAGACGTGATTTACATCTGTAACATAGATTAGCATATCTGGTGCTAGTTGTTGCTGTTGTATAATGTTGGGGCCATCTTGTGCACTTATGGTAATTGAATTGCTAGCATTGTATTAGGTATACCAGAAGAAATAACAGAATGCTTGGGGGTTTAGGCAACTTTATTTCTTGAAAGATTTATCCAGCACTATTTTCTTTATACCCAGTGTTCTTATTGATTGCAGTTGCCAGCAACTTAGCTGGAACTTTTATGGAAGATATTTAAGTTTCTTTGCCATGATTGGTATGTTATGACACAACCAATTATACACCGTAATTATTACTTTTCAATCCTGAGGCTGAGAGGCGGCATGTCCATCTCTTTCCATGCTAGGTTGCTTCCCTAATCTTCCTTTGCATATATTTCTGAATATGTTGCCTTTGCTAGTATTGTATCACTTCATGAATGATTCCTATCATTTCTATATGGCTAGATTGGGAACAAATGTTCCATTTCCATATTGGCCCCACTGCATAGTAAAAATACATTTTATATTATGCCGTTTAATATTAATCACTCGACTATGACTAATTCTAGAGTTAAAACACAAGGCAAATGGAGGGTTTTTTTTTTTCTTCTTTTTTAAAAAATTAACCCTGAAGGGCAAAAGTTGGTTCTTACTATAATACAAGATATGGCAAGTTGATGTCTTTATCTAATGTGGCATTTGAGGGTCAACTATTATTATTTGCTATAGAAACAAGTCCCCCATCTTATGTTTTGTGGATGAAGATTGAATTGCCCGCATAAGACTATCATCTGAGAAACGCTGATCAAACATATAAAAAGCTGTCTTTCAAATTTCATTTCCATTCCAACAAATGAAAGCTAAATCAAATCGGCAAACGGAAATACAGAATTCACATTTGTTTTATCTGTTTCTTCACATTATATAATTTTGTTTGACAATATGCAAGTCCCAATGTGTAGGTTTTCACGATACATTCAACCCTCTAATCTCAATTCGAACCATGAGAATGTGCCCATGCTGTCCAAAAACAGACTTGAAAAGTTAACTTCTGCAAATTATCCCAATTCTTTTGGATATACACAACTGTATTTGTTCGTAATCCTTTAGTTCAACGAGAAACGAAGACGAGCAAGATTCCCGTTCTATTCCAGTGCCTGGTGTACTTTTGAATTTGGAATGAGCCATGCCATCTGAAGCTCGAAGAAAAAGAGGTTCTTCTCTCCCTTTCAGTCAGTCACGTAAGGTGTCGAAATTCTATTGCTTTGATTCCAATGGTCCAGCAAGTTCTGGCGAGTAATAAAGACCTAGTACTGTTAAAAGCCTGTCAATTCAACTATCTAATACATCACTTCTAGGCTGGAGATGAAGCCAAAGAGCAAGAATCATTCATATAATTATCATGTATTGTCGAGAACACTAGGCCTGCAGGCGCTTAGGATTGCAAGATGATGTATTGTCAAGAATGATGATCCCGATTGTTGATGATGAGTCTCCTAGCGCCTTATGCATCAAAATAAGCTGGAATTATTTGATGCTGCATCAGGATTACAATGCGCTGTTGTTTTTCATCACAACATTGAGCACTGCGTCATATAGGTGGATCTGCATCAACGAAATCAATCACTTAAAACTATATTACGGCAAAAGCAATGAAAGGCCAAATCAGATATGCTGTTTCTTGTCATCAGATAGCCTAAAATTCCATTTTTTCTTCATAGTTCATTAATTTGAACTTTTATACGCTAGTTCAGACTATTAGATTCACCTCAGCATAAGTAAAAAAGGCATACAGCCCATTGCTTCCTTCCCTTACTGCTCTCCCTCAACCTCAAGCAACACTTGAAAGTGATTCATAAAAGATATTACAGACTAATTTTGCCCATGCAAGTGTACTGCCCCATGGCCCCCATCATATGGTATAGAAATGTACACACCCAACCAAAAAAATAAAAAAAGAAAGAAACACCTATTTTGTGTTTATACATTCTGACGCACATCAACTACAGAAAAGAGTATTGTAAAATTAACAATTCCAAATAGGGAAAACTAATCTGACAATACCAGGTCCCTTCAAGAAATAGTAGATGCACGATCTTCATCAACCTTACCAACTGCCTCTAGAATTGATGAATAAGTAATCTGATCATATTCAAATCCGTTTGTATTCATCTCTTTCATCAGCCTTGCAGCTTCCTCAAACATACCAGCACGGCTCAGACAGCCAAGAACAGTGTTGTAAGAGACTGCATCCGGCTTAATCAATGAATGTTTCATTTTTGTGAACATCTCAATTGCCCGGTTTGGCACACCAGTCCTAGCCAAGCCATTTAGGATAATGTTATGCGAGTTTATGTCTGGAAAGCAACCATTTTCTTCCATAGTTCTAAGCAAGGAATGAGCTTCATCTATCATGCCGGCTCTTACCATCCCCGACATGAGTGCATTGTAAGTATAAACATCAGGTTTACAGCCAAGTTTCTTCATCTCATTAAAAAGATCAATAGCATCACTAAGACGGCCACACTTGCCAAACTGTTTGATCATTACAGCATATACACGAGCACTTGTACATCCACAATTCTCTTTCAACTCCAGAAATAATTCATTTGCAGCTTCATACCGTTTTGCCTTTCCAAGACTGTTGATCAGGCTGCAATAGGCAGCTGGGGACGGAGGAAAACCCTTTTCATCCATCTCTTCCAGAAGCAATAAAGCTTTCTCAACTCTATTTGTTTTGCAAAAACCGTCAATAAGAATTGAGTAAGTAAATGAGCTAGGAGCAACACCATTTGCTTTCATTTTCTCAAACCACGAAGCAGCCTCAGAGGCTGGGGCTTTGCATTCAAATAAAGCCTTAATGACAGTGTTATATGTTACCACATTTGGTTTGCACTGCCAAGCCTCCATTTGGCCAAAAAGCCTAAGGGCATCTTCAAATCTGTGCGCTTTGCCCAAAATGTTAATTAAAGTATTCATGAGCACAATATCAGGTGCACACCCATCTTTTATCATGTCTAAGAACACACTGTAAGCATCATCAACCCTCCCAGCTTTTCCAAGCCCCTTGATCCATTCTGTGTAAGTAAAAACAGTTGGAGTGCAGCCCTTAACTTTCATCTCCCGTATCAAATCCAAGGCTTTCTCAACCTTATCTAACTTGAAGTAAATTCCCAACAAGGTTGTGTATATCTTTGGAGTAGGATGAAGGCCGTTCTCTTTCATCTCATCAAACAACCTTATTGCAGAATCATCACGATCCAATTTCCCAAAAGCTGAAATAAGTGAACTATACGTTAGAGTGTCTGGAAAACAGTTCCCTTCGTTACACATCTCATTGTAAAGCTCATGAACCTTCTCATAATGACTTTCTTGCATTAATATCAAGATCATAGAATTATAAGTGTTTGCTGTTGGTTTACATTTTCGGCCTTTTATCTGATAAAATACAGATAGTGCCTTGTTCACCATCTTGGACTTGCCTAATATTTTAACAATTTCAGATAAATCAGCAGGACTAATAATACATGTACTCCTTACCATATCTTGGATTATCTTCCACATTTCACCATACAATCCAGCTTCATCCAAACAATTAATTAAAGCGAAATAAGTAGTAGAATCATGTTCAAAATTTCTCCTTTTCGCAACCCACTTGAAAAACTTAATTTTCACATGAACCTCCACGTCTATTTTCAAAACCTCACGAACCAATCTATGATCCACTTTCAACTTTAGCACTTCTAATGCCTTCTCAGCATCAGGTCCCCACTTGAATATTTTCAAAATTCTTATGAACCTCTCATCCAATTTTCTAATGGATGGGTCATTCCTTGAAAATTTTCTATTCATGGGTAAGTTTTGCATCTCATCATTTCGACTGGGTAACCGAAACATTTGAACTATTTCATTTTCTGCCAAGGTAAACAAAGAACTTATTAATTATGTGATAATGTACAAATTTGCACATAAATAATAATTTGTTATTTCCATTATGAAGAATCTATCAAGTAACAAATACATAACATCCACGAATTAACAGTAAGATTGTATTTGTTAGAAATGAAGAAGCATAGAGTATGAACACTACCTGTTTGTTTAATTCTCTCACAGAGATGCGGCAAAGTTGATATCGATCGTTTCGAAGCAATGAAACCGAAAACCATCTTTGCCATTTGCCAAATATTTTGTGCATAGGAAACTTGGAATCACTTCATCAAAACCAAGAGAACATATTATTACAGTACCAGTAAAAACCCCCAGAGAGGATCAAAGATCCCTAAACAAGAGCTCAACAGCAACGAAGACAACGATAGGAAACTGAAATTATGCGACCATAAAGATTGAAGGCCGTAAGCTCATGTTATAGGCCCATAAGAACTGAGCTTTTCTTTTCTTTCCTTTTCTTTTGTTAATTATATATTTGTAGTCTATTAGACTTTTGTTTTTTTGAGGTCCTAATGGAAAAAAATTAAAATTATAAATTTTTATCCAATTAAGTGCATTGAGTCGGAATTTTTCACTAAAAACACAAATAAATTATTTTACCATACACTTTATTTACTTTTCGAGATTATTACCTTTTGTTTCTCTTTCTTGGTAAACTCAGTTTTTGATGTTTAATAAAGCAATGGAAATGGATTTTGACAGAATCTTTTTCGAATCAGACTTCATGATCTTGAATTTTAGTTTGCCAATTTTCTTTGGAGAAGCAAATAAAGCAACTTAACCATTTTACTAGAATATAGTTTCACTGTCGATTCAGAAGTAGAAGAAGAAAAGCGATGTCAAAAAGCCCAACCCCACTACGTGAATAGGTTCTAGCGGGATCAATTTGGCTCTTGTAAATTGTGCTTAATCATAGTTCAAACATCAGTCGCGTTTGCGGTCCTTGTCCACGAGTATAAGTTTTCCAAGAACTAACATTATCATTTCTAAAATAACACTTGCATGCTCCCAATATAAATTCATCTCCACACCAAATAAGATAAATATTGCTATTATTTTATACTGCTCTTTTTCTTAAAAAAAAAAAAAAAAAAAAAAAAAAAAAAAAACACGCAAAAAAAAAAAAAAAAAAAAAAAAAAAAAATACAAATACACGCCCAAACAAGCCAAAGAATGCAGACAGCACTGAGCATATAAGCTACCTTTCAAAAGATTAATTCGCTTGGCAGTGTAGAGCTGAACTCGTAATATAATCTGATTCCAATTAGAATAAAAAAAGAGGGTTGCACCCACAACCATAATTAGTTTTGGGTACTAAATTTAGTCCTTTCATTTTTCAATTTCCTATTCTTACATTATTCGTATATGCACGTTTCATCCGTTACAGAGCATCACATGAAAGGCAAGAATCATCTTTCAATGAGAAATAAAATCGAACACCTTTGGCAAGAGGGAAACACAAACACCTTAACAAATAATGAAATGTGCCCAAATCGTGAACCCAAAAATGGAAAACACGAACATCTTACCAAAGAATGAAAAGTAGCAAAATCAAGACCCAAAATGACATTGGTAAAAACGAGACATATCCTACAAATCAAAAAAATAGTAGACATTTGAAAGAGTATTTCTACCCCATACCAACATTTGGGTAGAATTGTAAAAGTCCTCCAAATCCTTCCTTCAAAAAAAACCGGATTCTAGACCGACTGATAAATAATAAAATTTGATAGACTTAACAAACAGAAAAAGGCTTTTACAGATAAAATCAAAGTTTGCCAAACATCCCGTATGCCTTCTCCCTCATGTCAGCCCATCAAAGAGTTCATCTGAGGCTCAATTCTTACACATTATGAAGCAAATTACCAAATTTCAACTGATAAATTATGCAGCACCAGTTGTATCGGACTTATCAGTCTCCATTGGTTCTCCAGAAGCTGGTGGAACCTCACCAGCTCCAGTATTCTCGTTTGCATTTGCAGCCTCTCCACCCTCTGGTTGCTGTTCACCTCCTTGAGGTGGAGGTGTTGCTGGTGTCTCAGGAGTGGATGGTTTAGCAGGTTTTGGCTTTGTCATTATTGGCCTACAAAACCTATAGAAAAAGCTCACACTTCAGCATCATGTCCACGTAGACAAGCAACTCATTCCAACAAAATAATGTAAACAATTCCACAAACACTGCAACCTTTTTTCCATAGTATGTCCATAACTAACAAAAAGTTCCCCACATAAATCTTAAGCAACAGGCAAGACATTCCATTTTGATCTCGACAATAGTAATATAAATAAAAAAAACTACTTTTTAAGTAAAGATAACTAAAATACCGGTCAAGTGCTTCTGCCTTCCTTCTCACATCAGCTGACAATAGAACTGGACTGGCATATTTAGGAAGAGAGTCCTGCTGTTGCTTTTTCTCTCTTAACCAGGATTCTGCTTCTACACACTCATTCAATACCTGAAACATATCAAAGCATGGGTTTGAAGAACACTAAAAAAGAAAACAAAAGTGACCAGATAGGAAAAGATAAAATAAATTTACCTTCTGCTTTTCAGCTAAGTCAATGTGATCAAATTTAGGATCACTCGACACAGCTGCCTCTCTGTAACTATTAATACAATAACCAAGTTGATCAATTACAGATCCCCTTTCCATGTGCTCCTTGTAGCGCTCCTCAATGGGATCACCTTGCTGCAATTTGTTACATTATTAGATATACAATCCATCCAATGATAGTTAACCAATGGAGACCTAAGGAAAAATAAGGAACACAACAGATAATCATCACCATGGAAAGTTGATGGATACTCACCTTTTTGAGCTCTTCAAGTTTGGCTATGTAAACACCTTTAGTTTCGTCCTCACCATCTTCATACAACCAATCTTCTGTTTCCTGCAGTTTGGCTGTGAAATCTTCCCTCTCTGGATCAGTGACAAACTCCTGATATTTGTCGCTAAGCTGGACCAAAAAAAAGAGCATTTGTAATACATATACCATTAGCCAAGAATATTAATAATAATAATGATAATAATAATAATAATAAAGCAATCTACCTTGTTTCTCATATCATAGACATACGCTTCAACAGCATTTTTCTTGTCTTTGGTTTCCTCCATAACCCGATCTTGCAATGCCATTTCAAACTCCTTCTCTACTGCTTTCTGCACATCTGCTGGTGGCAGTCCACCATAAACTACCTCTGCCACTGGTATATTTGTCTTCTTTACTTTCTTCTTTGGAACTTCAACCTACAAGCCAAGAGTAAGTAAACATCACATAAGTACAGGAATGAGTTTTAAGGCTTCAAGGTCAAGAGTTACAATTCCCAAAGTTAAAATAGATAAAATACCCAAAAAAAGAAAGAAACAAAATCTATTAATTTACGTATTGGAGCTCATTTACCTTGGTCTCTGTTTCCATTTGTGTGGGTTTGTCTCCTGACTCAGGAACACCATTTTCAGCCCCAGAAGCATCACCAGTTCCCTTTGCATCTTGCATATTGACATCGGCATCATTAGAACTAGGAGGAGTTGCTTCATTCGAAGCTTCATCGGTGTCCATTTTTTCTTCCTTTGCTGGCTCTTTTGTCACTGGGACTTCAACCTCTTCTTCCTCCAAAAGCTGACACAAGCATCATTACAAATTGAGCGTTCAAACAAAAATAAAACAACTGCAACCAGAAACACAAATCCTGAACAGGACTTACCGTAGCTGACTCGACAGCCACAATTCCATGCAGATTTAGACGAACTTTCACTTTCACTTTCGCTCTATCGCTTGTTGAAGACTGGAAGGGACCAATCTGCCAAAGAGCATAATATAATCAATTTTGCACTTTAGATTAAGATCCTAAACATAATCACTAAATATTAGCTGCAAACCATTGACTGGTGGAAGCTGAATCCCTACCGTATATGTACTGATCTTAGCAGGAACCTGCAGTTCACTCACATCAGCATACTGTACATCAACAGTGAATGTCCCTGACCTGTAGAATGTTAAAGCCTTAACACTAGGTATCGGATTTCCCTTGGGGAACACAATGGTGCTTTGCTGATTATCAGCTGCTCCATTTTGAGAATCTGGAGCAGCACCTTTCCATGATAATGCAATAGTAAATGGGAAGCTCTCATTGACCTGCAAATAAAACAATGAATCTATCATCAAACAAATTCATTCACATAGGAGAGCAGAAACTTGTTATCCCTAAATTAACATAGGTTCTACTGGAAGAAACCACACTCCTCTAGAAAACACAGAATAGAACATTAAAATCCCACTTAAACAAATGTCAGCTTGATGTACATTATGACATCCAAACTAGCGATACAAGAAACAACCTCCACATGCCAAGTCAAACTCTTTAATGACACAATTTGAGGAGCAATAGTACTATGGTCTGAATAAACAAAACAAGCAGAACATTTTAAATCAACTGTAATCATAATATATCTCTGACCAACACAGAAATTGTATAGAACAAGAAACGAGGCCTTTACCTGGAACTCTCTCACTTTGAATGTGGGGCTTAGGATGGCACACTGCAAAGCACAGCCTCTGGCAACACACTCACTTGCATTCATTGTCCGCCTAGGCTCCTTTCCAAAGAACTCGGACAATATCTTGATTATAGCAGGAATACGAGAGCCAGAACCAACCACCTCAACCATGTGAACATTATCAACTGTCAGTTTAGCATCTTGAAGTGCCTTCTCCAAAGGCCTCTTGACACGTTCCAGAATAGGCACACTAATCTGCTCGAACTCATCCCTCTTAATGAAGCCTCTAACATCCTTTTCGTCCATTAAGCACTCAATATTAAGTGGTGCCTCAGGGTTAGCACTAAGAACCTTCTTCAGCTTCTCACATGCAGCCCTGAGCCGAAGAGAAGCCCTAGCATTCTGGAGAACATCAATTTTATACTCGTCCTTGAACTTTGCAGCAAAGTGATTAAACAGAACCTCATCAAAGTCCCTACCACCCAAAGATCTATCAAAAGAATGAGCCAATATCTTCAGTTGGCCTTTTCTGAATCCAGCAATGCACACTTGCATGCTTGCATGTCCAACATCAACAAAAGCAACATTCAATTGGTCATTCTCAGGCAAATCAGTCTTATAAATACCATAAGCCAGTGCTGTAGCTGTGGTTTCATGAATCAATCGTAGAGGATGCAATCCTGCAATTGTAGCTGCATCCAGAACAGCCCTTCTTTGAAGGTCAGTGAAATAAGCTGGAATTCCAATGCAGCAATCTACCACTGCTGCATTTAGATTCTTTTCGGCTATGCCTTTCAAATTTGACAAAACCATCCCCAAAACTTGGGTTGGTGTAAACGTTCTCATTTCACCCAAGTACCGTGCATGAATCAAAGGGAACCCATCAGGACCCTCACTTACAGCAAAGGGTAAAGACTTGAGATCCTTTTGCAACTCTGGATCAGAAAATTGACGGCCAATTAGCCGCTTAATCTGCGATATAGAGTTTTTGGGGTTCATCATAGTTGAGGCAGCCCCTGCAGTCCCAATGAACCGCTGTTTGTCGCCGAAGCACACAATGGCAGGAGTTTCACGCTTTGATTCATCATTAAGCACAACATCAATCCCTCTTTGCCTTGCAACAGCAACAATGCAGCTCTCATTACCAAAATCGAATCCAACTACACTCATTTTAGCCAAAATTTTACTGATTTATTGGATAACTTGGTGTAATCCCCTCACAAAACTATGCAGTAACCTGTATAGAACAATTTATAAATCAGTAATTAAACCTAAAGGGAGACAGATGTTTGCTATGACTCGGTATTTACTGCATCAGATAAAATAATCCGTTGACATGAAATATCTTACAAACAAAACTGAATATAATATCAATGCAAATAAATGAGCATTCTGCAGGTTAAAAAAAAAAAAAAAAAAAAAAAATAAAAATAATCCGTTGACTGAAATATCTTACAAACAAACTGATTAATATCAATGCAAATAAATGAGCATTCTGCAGGTTAAAAAAAAAAAAAAAAAAAAAAAAAAAAACCTATTTCCCAATCCAATGCAAACACAAGCTGACCATGGTACTCTAAAATGGAGGCCAAGTCCAAAAAAAAAAAAAAAAAAAAAAAAAACCTATTTCAATCCAATGCAAACACAAGCTGACCAGGTACTCTAAAATGAGGCCAAAAGTCAAACCATCTATACATCTCTATATACAACACTCATGAATTCAGACAAATACAAGTCGATGCACCTGAATATAATGTGAACCAGCATCACTGCAAGATAACCAAAGCAACTAAAAAAATTGTAATCACCATGAAACATAATCAATATGCGGAAAAACCATTAATGCTACTCAACGAACAAAAGAGGTAACTAGTCAAAGCAGAGTCCCTGCCTCTCCCTTAAAGACATGTACAGATAAAAATAGCACAGCCACGGAGTTGAGATAAAATAGACAGCAAAAAAAGTTGGGAAACCACAGACAATGTGCACAAATATAAACCCTACAACGTAGATGTAACTCGATTATCAAGGAACTGACAGAGCAAGGCAATGCAAAACCCTAAATGCATAGGCAAACACTCATATAACTTAACCTAATAATTTTTTTTTGTTAGGTTACTATAATCTAATAGCACAATCAGTAATATTTTTTTTTGTTAGGTTACTATAATCTAATAGCACAATCAGTACTAAAACGAATCCCATCAACAAATTTTTAGAACTCACAAATTAAAAATCCATAAGAAGGAAGAAAAACAAAATAGACGATCATCAAATCTAACTAAAGAATTACTAAAAAAACAAAAAATAAAATAAGAACAGCCTAGACTTATAAGAGGTCTTCGAAACTGCACCTATATATAACTCTATAACTAGAATCAAAACGATCAGACACAGAATCAGTGTCATAAAGATAAATCTCAACGAAGAACTCACAGATCTACGAATTGCAGTGAAGTATACGTACAACAGAACTAAAACTTAGATTCAGCTTCTAAACACATCTAAAACAAGTAGATAAAAGAGATTTTCTTACCTTAGAAACAAAGAGAAGGAAGAGGTGGCTTTGCCGTTCTAGAAATCTCTCGCTTTGAAACCTCTACAAAGGCTATAGGGAAATTGCAGGATCCTTTTATTACGAGAAACCCGACTGAGGGTATTGCGTTTTAATAATTTCTTTTTATTTATTTTTTGTTTTTATTTTATTTTATAAAGTTATTGATTTAGGCATTTAGCAGTATTTCGGTGTTCTTTTTACTTTTTTTTTTTTCATATATGGAAAAAAAGTCATTGTGGTCGAGGTGGTCCTAGAGACGTCTAGAGTTAGTGATTTGTTTTACCTTCTAGAAAGATCTACAAGTATGTGGATCTTTTTATTAGTAGAAAAGACTTCTGTTTTAAGGGCTGGGATTAGGGTTGGGCTTGAGGTAAGATAGCGTTATTTGTCAATTTAAACGAAATTATTAAATCATGTTATTTGTAAATTTAATCTGGCGACGGAAACGAAATTATATAATTCGTTTTTGAAAGGATTAAAATATTTCTATTAGAACAATAAAGACATTACAATAGAAAAATTAGTTTTTTCAAAAAAAAAAAAAAAAATCAGATGAGAGTTTATTTATCATCTAAAATAATCCAAAATTTTATTTTATTTTAATTATTTGGGTTAAAACTTTTTCATTGGTGTCTATTCTTCAAGATATAAGATCAAGTATTAAAAAATTTATAATTAGAATGAACAAAACGTTTTTTTTTTTAAATATTATTAATAAAAACTCAATATCATAGACAATAAAACCTAAATTGAAAATATCATATAATAAAACATCAACAACAAATAATGGAAACTTTTTCTATAATCAACGGTGAAAAATATCCAGATTAAAATATGTATTAATTAGTTTGTTTATTTTAACATTATCTATTTTATGTAATTTCATAGTATTATAATAACATTAAATATTAAATATTGTGTAACTCGCATGATTATTTTTCTAAATTTTCTATGATCTAATAAAAGATATAATTCTCCGAGTAATATCTCTCGTCTGCTATGTAACAAGTCTTAAAACTCTCTTGTTCTTTTTAACAAGTTTAAACTAAATCTAGATCTCCTGCTTAGTCGCGGCTGGTACGAGTAGTATGACACGTTCAATAGAGGAGATGTATGCTGGGTTAACAGTGGAGGAACAACAAGGCAGGTTGGTTGTGGAGGACAAGGAGCCGAAGGAAGATGAGGAACTTACTGGATCTCCGCTCTGTGTTGTAGGTAGATTGCTGACTATTAAATGGGTGAATTTTATTGCTTTTAAGAACACTATGGCGTCTGTTTGGAGGCCAGTCATGCGTATGCTGGCCAAGGATCTGGGAAATAATGCATTTGTATTCCAGTTCATGCTCCATGTGGATCGGGATAGAGTGGTGAAAAGAGGACCATGGAACTTTTCCCAAAATTTATTGCTTCTCAAGCAAATTCCTGTTGGAGTGAAGCCTAAGCAGATTGAATTAACCAAAATTGAGTTTTGGATCCAAATACATAATCTTCCAATTGGTTTCATGTCTGAGAAACTCAGGAAGGATGTAGGAAACTTCATTAGCACTTTCTTAGACAGATCCAAAAAATTTCTCAAGGATGTGAAGCGAGTATCTGCTAATGTTAGTGACTGGTTTACTTCCGTTCTTGCTAAAGTTTCAAAGGAAAAGCTATGTTTAGTTTTTACTATTGCTTGGGAGCTGTGATGGGATAGAAACCAACTAGTTTGGGCACAAATCTAGGTACCAACGTAATGTATTTTGAGACGGGCTATGAATTATTTACAAGAGTGGCAGGTTGATCCAGATAGACAGGTCAAAAGGCCTGCTCATGATATTCAGCGGTATTCGTTTAAATGGCAGCCACCAAGTTTGGGTAATGTCAAACTTAATGTAGATGCATCATAGGATGCAACATCAAAGAGAGCAGGTGTGGGTTAGTTGGTACGTGATTTCCATGGGGCTTGGTTAACTGGTGGAGGATGTGCTTTTGAGGGAGTTATGAGTGCTTCATTTGCAGAATTAGTGGGCATAAGGGAAGCACTTAGTTGGTTGAAGGGTAAAGGAATACTTGAGTATGTGGAGATTGAAGGTTATTGCTTGACAATGCTGCAAGTAATTAAATATTCTTTTGCAGATTATTCTTATTTTGATCATTTACTTAATGATGGTAGAACTTTGATTAACGAGTTTAGTTTGCTATCACTTTTGTTCGCCAAAAAATCAGCGAATCAATGTGCTTATTCTTTAGTAAAAGTGGCTAATTCTATGTCTGATTTATAAAATAGGATCCTGTCGCTCCATTAATTATTTAGGATGTTTTGTCTTTTGATTCTATTAATATATAACCAGCATTCTCATTAAAAAAAATTAAAATTATAATTTAGTCAATTAGATGTAGTCTGATTATTCATCCTACCTCGCGTAGAAGATATAGGAAGTGAGAAGTCCTAAGTTCAAGTTTCTTCACCACAAAAGTTATTGTAAATTTGGTGAATGTCATTCAAAAAGGAGGGCTGTCCCTTGCTGTATAGTCCATAATGTTATTTCAGCTTATTGGATTTTTCATATATAAAAAAAATAAAAAAATAAAATTTTAAATTACATGGTGAATGAGGAAAATAAAAACAATATTAAATATGTGGACTTGCACCATAAATTCATATTTTTAATAGATGTATTGTACATAAAAATTATTTATTGCCTAATAATTTCAATAAATAAATATCAATTGAATTAAACTCAAGATTTTCAATAGATGAAACATGTTCATGTGTCTAAATGCCTTCAAAATTTCAATTGTTTTGTTTGGTTTGAGTGACAATATTAAAGAGCGTGTAAAAGATATTTTATATAATATATTATACGATTTTCCTCTAAAATGAAAACAATAAATAATAGATGAAAAGTTATAATTCTTACCTGATACTGAAAATAAAATTATTTACACTCTTATTTTACAACAATCCAAACAGATAAAACAAAATAAATAGATAAAATGAATAGTATCAGTTTACACATTTATTTTACTTTATCTCTTATTTTACTTTCTCCTTCTTTCCAAACATAACATAAAATTTGGATTAAGGGTTTAAGATAATATTTAAATAAAGTATTTTCAATCAATCATGAAGATTTAAAATTTTAAATTTTGCAAGTAAAATAAACTTAAAAAATATAATGTGTTAGGCTAAACTGATAGCCTATACTCATTTAATTAATAATATTGGTCGATGCTGTCTAAACATTGTTAGAACTTAGAAGTGAGGGGAGGAGCAATCTGCAACGCAGGCCTAACTGGTACTTTTGATTAGTCTTTGGCCTTGGCACATTCAAATTACAGACGGGCATACTTTTCAACTTGGAAGATTTCAACTTGGAAGATTCTGGATGAGGAGACATGGCAATTGATAACAAATTATCAAATGTAGTTAACTTTTGGCGAGAAATATGAAAATTTAAATGATAAATATTTATTTTAAGATTTTTCTATACAGTAATAAAACTGATATATATTATTATAAATATATAAAATAAATATTTTTAAATATATGAGTAACTTTTAATTAAAATATTATTTTTATTACTAAATAAGTGGATTTATTTTTTATTTTCTATTTTTTTTATTTGCTTAATGCAATTCGTATGCTGTAAATATATCAATAGGCACATATACTACATCGAAACATCCAAGTAGGCTCTTAAAATTTTATTTATTCAATTGAACATTTATAATTAACTATTTTTAAAATAAAATGCTTGTTAATAGGGTAATAAATACTAATATTATCATCTTTACACCTTTTATTTTCTATTTTTATATTTTCCATCACAGAATAATATTTTTAAATAATCGTGTAAGTACAGAGTTAAAATTATAAATTTATAACAATTATATATTTTTAAGTAAAGTTTAAGAAGCTAAAGGATTTTGAAAAGTAAAATGTTTGAAATGTAAATTTGTTAATGTGTTTTGTATTGAAAAAAAAATACTATAAGTAAATTTAAAAAAAAAAAAAAATCACAGACAATCCAAACTGAGTTTGTTGTGTTTGATTTCTGAAGTTCTTCGAATTTTTATTTGCATATGCTTTTTACCTGTTAATAATGCATATTTCCAATTTTTCATTATTGATACTAGTGCACTATCATCGTCGTTTTCTATAACGACGTTATTGTATACTTTGAAGATGGTCAAAGGATGGCCATAATTTGTAACCTCTTGTCCAAGTTACTTTCCTTTATATTGATATTATCTTTAATTAATTGATTTAAAATAAAATTCATTTATTAACCCATTAATTTAATTTGGATTTTTCATCAATGGGCCCGCCATATTTAAGACATCCAAATTAAATTAAGGAAGTTATAGACCTTAATCAAATTAATTGTTAATTATTCAAATTTAGATATATGGTACAAACATTAAGTTTGATAGCATAAATAAAATTATATAAATTAATATTTGTGATTTCATAAAATTTATTTTCTATTTTAAAAATGATATATAATAAAACTAAGAAAATTCTCTCTCAAAAAAAGCAAAAAAAAAAAAAAAAAAAAAAAAAGAACTTTAGATATATAGGTTACTAAAACATTAGTATCGTCTTAGACACCATAAATTAACACGAACATCTAATAAATAGAATTAGAAATTAATTTGATTGATTTTCTAAAAATTTATTTCTCAATTTTTAAAACAGATCGCTATATCAATAAAAACTAAAGAATGTTTGCTCTCTCTAATAAAAAAGTCAACAAAGAAAAAAAGAATAAAATAAATAAAAAAAAAAGAAAAACAAAAAAAAAAAAAAAAAAAAAAAAAAAAAAAAAGAAAAACAAAACGACATCGGTTTTACTTCGCTCAAAGCCAGTCTGCCAGTGGCGGGAAAATCCTCACCGTCTAGGGTTATTATTTTTCTCCCACCATTTTTCAACTGAGTACTGAACCAGAAAACTCCCTTTTCCCTCAATCTCTTCGAATCCTACAGAATAGGCAAAACAAAATGCCAACTTACGGAATTAGGGGAATCGATGTCGACTTCCCTTACGAGGCATACGATTGTCAACTAGTTTACATGGAGAAAGTCATACAATCTCTTCAAAGCGTGAGTTCATAAAATTGAGCGTCGTTTAATTGCTTTCCTTGTCCCAGTAGCTCTATAAAAATCTCAGATTTTCTGATTAATGAAATTAGTTTCAGTATACTCATCGTTGTGCGCTTCAGTCGGTTGTTTTATCTAAACGAATGTTTTTTTGCTTGTCTCTGAGAACAAGTTTATTGCTTGCATTTTTGAAATTTGTATTGTTTGATTGGTGAAATTAGCTTTGATGGTTTTTATGATACACATACTTCAGCTGTTGGATCGTGTACTCGTACTGTATATAATATAGCCTTTGTGTCCACACTACATGTGTGGGAAGAATTTTGGATATTAATTGTTTTAACAGCTACTGAATTTGATTTTCACATACTATACATAATGCCCCTTAGTGAATTGTTCGAGCTTGTAGTGTATCTGGAATGTCCCCAGTGTCTTTGAAAACTTCTATTTTTGTATGAATTATATGACTATGTGTGCGTTTATGATGTGACAGCGATGTAATGCACTCTTGGAGAGTCCTACTGGAACTGGGAAAACTCTGTGCCTTCTTTGTGCTACATTGGCTTGGAGGAAGAGTTGTGGTCCGTTCTCAACTGGTAAAATTGAAAGAAATGGTCTTACTGCAGGAAGCAAATCAGATGAGGTGCCGTCAGCCTCTCAGGGTGGTGGCCTTCCTACTATAGTGTATACATCGCGCACTCACAGCCAGCTCCGGCAAGTTATTCAAGAATTGAAGAGGTCCAGCTACAGGTCAGAGTTTGTTTTGCTTTCTCATTTCTTTTGCAGTTGAGATTTTCAGTATTGCGCGAAACCTTTGATGTGATTTTTTCATTATGTTGCATGTGCAGTATCGCTGTGGTTGTGATAATTTAATATTTCACAAGGCACGTCATCTGCCATATTCTTGTTATGAATTATTGATCTATTTTTTCCTTTGAAGGTGAAAGCACTTGCTGTGCAGATAAGAAAAATGAACTAATTTTTTTGAAAGAATCTCGTCAGAAATTGAATTTGATGTATTGACCTTCATACCATGACAGGCCCAGCAAATCAGTATGTCATTGAGTTTGGACCATTAATTTTCTCAATTTTAGTCAATATGCAGGCCAAAAATGGTAGTATTAGGATCTCGGGAGCAGCTGTGCATTCACGAAGAAGTCAGTTTACTACGTGGAAAAGCACAGAATAATGCCTGCCATTATGTTTGCAGAAAGCGGGAAAACCGTAAATGCACTCATTTTGCTCGTGTTGGGGGTAATTTACTTTGTTGATTAATTGAAGTTGTGTCAATCTTCGTATATGTATTCTTGCGGTAATGTAACTACATATAATGTTGTTGTAATATAATAACTTAATAACTGCTTTTTATTTTCTATTAACTCTGTTGAGATTTTGCATTTGTCTCACTTATGCTGTCATAATTAAAATAAATTGGATTGCCTTATGCCGGATGAAAATTTTTGAGGGTGAACAGTGAATGCTATGGACCATAACAGTCTGGAGTATTTGAGGATTTTGAGTTGTATCCATAAGTATGATATAAAAGCATGTCGCATTTATGTGGTTTTCTTTACTATTTCTACTTAAGCCATTATACTATAAGTCTCTCCCTTTCTCAGTCTTTGGTAAGCATGCACGCTTATCTTCCCAGTCTCAGTGTTGCAAAACTTTGAAGTTAAATGCATTTTTGATAAGGACTTGTGGCATTTGTTTATCATAAAAAAAATTCTGTGCAAGGTTTTAATGATTCTTTTTCTGGTATAATGACTAAATTCAATGTGATTAATATTTTTTTAAACAATAGGGAGAATTTTGGTTTCTGGACTGCAAATTCTATATACTGTGCAGTGAATAAGTCAATCAACTTTACTGTTTATTTATTTGTTCTGTGTGATAAGTATTTCAAGAAAATCTAACTTCTCTTCAATGCATTTGTGCTTCCATTATAGATTATGTGCGGCAAAATCCCCAGATTGGGGATGAACCTGTGGACATAGAGGATTTGGTAAATATTGGGAGAAGATCTGGACCGTAGGTTCTAATATTGCTATGCTTTCTTTGTGCTGTAGTAGTAAAATTCTGTACAACTGGACTTCTTTTTTATAATTTTGTGCTAATACTTGTAGGTGCCCATATTACATATCGAGGGAGCTTCACAAGGTGGTCGATATTTTATTTGCACCTTACAATTATCTTATTGATCGTAGCTATAGAAGATCTCTTAAAATTGATTGGAACAACAGTATACTGATATTTGATGAAGCTCACAACCTGGTAAGTGGGAACAGCTGCGAATTCTCATCAAGAAAAATGTATTTGCTCCTAAGACTTTGAAAAACCATAGCTGTTGATTTTTTAACCAGCTTCTCATATTTCAGAAACGAAATTGTTTTCTAATGGTAATTTTCCCCTTAAGTTATAAGTTAAGATGCTTAGATAATGTACACAATGCAGGAAAGCTTATGTGCAGATGCAGCATCTTTTGATTTATCTGCAGGGCTTCTGACAGCTTGCATTTCTGAAGCAAAATCTTGTATAAACCTTTCTGTGGCTAGGAGAGAAGAATTGAATGATAAATCACGGAATCCAGATAATTTTGCTATTCTTAAAGGTATTTGTTCTATTGCCTTAGTCAGGACATGGGCAGTTTCAATTCCCTAATTTTTTAGCAATTGATACTTGATGTTTATTCTCTTCTTATTACTACTGTAGTTTTCTATTCAATTTTTGCAGCTATTCTGCTGGCAACTCTAGTGTTTGTCTTGTTCCTACACTATATGATCAATTGGTCCCATTTCTTTTGAGTGAATTATTCATTTCTTGCAGCAATGCTTTTGAAACTTGAGAAGCGGATTGCTGAAGTGCCTATTGAATCCAAGGATTTGGGATTCACAAAGCCTGGGCCATACATTTATGAACTACTCGCTGATCTTAATATCACACATGAAACTGTTTCTAAGCTCACTGACTTAATTGAGGAAGCTGCTCTGCTTCTTGAGGAAGATAAGCAACAGAGGGCAAAGGACACAACCTGTAGGCTGGAAAGCATTGCGGACATTCTTAAAATAATTTTTAAGGAAAAGAACAATGCTCATGCAAACTTCTATCGTGTAAGCTTGCTATGATAAATTGGTTGAAGAATCGTGAGATTTGTATAGTGGCTGTGGCCAAACCGTAGTGGATATGGCCAAGCCTTTTATGAACATCTGTCATTATGGCTGCTGCTAAAGTCCTGTAACAGTTTTTACCAGTGCATGGCCAGGTCGATATTTACATAAAATTGGATGGGTAAATAAAATCCCTTGATGTACCATGTGACATGCAGGACGTAGACAAATAGCTAAATTGTCTGTTGTTTTGTGTGTACCTCTTTTCAAAATAGATGTTTTTCCTCTATTCTTTTCTCCATTGTTGTGAATTTTGACACTTCTCTCTATTCATTTTAGGTTCATGTTCGGGAGGTTGAGGCAAATGCTTTTGATGCCTTAAAAGGTGATTCAGAGATTGGCCTATTAACGTGTTTGTGCTAGAACCTGTTAATTTTTTCTTTACATTCTCATTTTCTAGTATGGGTTTGCTGAACTTGACAAGTGTATCAGTTTTCTTTTCCGATGTTAAGTTAAAATAAGAAATTTAACACATTTTTAGTGCCTATATAATTTATTTGGATGTCATGTAAAAAAAATTCACCTTTTTAAATAATATTACTGATTTAGCTCTTGTCATGTGTCTTCTGGCTTGTTTTCCTAGGCTTAGGATAAAACATATGTCGGCAAAGCACTAGCTAATAGCTATCATGACTCATGAAGTAAAGCAGTTTAATGGCAGTGTACTAGAGATGGGTAGCTGAGTTATGTTACCATGTGGTGGAAGTAATAGGCCACTACTGTCAAAATCTACTGACACAAATTCAAATAGGTCTAGATGTCAACTGGCCTGGACTATTGATGCATGTAGTTCTCATATGACTGTGCGGACTTTATCAAAGAGTGAAGTAGTTTGATACTGCATTATCATTATGGACTAGCAGACTTCTGTGTAACAAGAAAATGCATTATTAGTTGTGTAAGGATGCAAGAAGAGTGAAGAGGTGGGTCCCCATACAATCTTTGTCTCCTCTTCTTATTGCAAAGAGGTGAGAGAGTATGTAATTGGTAGTTTCAACTTTGAATCAAATTTAGCATAAGGTTGGCAGGCTCCGGTAAAATGTCCCATTAAAGAAATATATCAACCATAAAAATACACATTATGTATCTCTATTTAGAAATGGAGCCTTAGGTAACCCTTCTATGATATTTAGAGATTATCTAAAAATTCACGTTGCTTCTGGACAATTATATGCAGAAATTTTTCGTACCATGTGTTATATGTCAAAACTTTATCTCTTACACAGTTGCTTAGTATGATGAAGACAGATTGAGAGAGTTCATCATTGTTGTTAAAAGTTGTGTTTTCCTGTGATCATGATGATTTTATACATCCATTACTTTGGTTGCAGGTAATGCATCTAGAACACTGAGTTGGTGGTGTTTTAATCCAGGCATTGCCTTGGAAGAGTTCTCCCGGCTGGGTGTTGGCTCTATTATATTGACATCTGGAACATTATCTCCCATGGATTCATTTGCACAAGAGTTGAAATTGTAAGTCTCTGTTTGCAGATTATATATTATGATAATTCCGAAGTACTTAAAGAATTGCTAAATAGAAAATTTTGGCTGGCTGCCACAGAAACTTTCCCATTCGGTTGGAAAATCCTCATGTCATATCCTCAAACCAGATATGGGCTGGTGTTGTGCCAGCTGGTCCATCAGGGAGATCATTCAATTCGTCTTATAGAAATCGCGATTCTATAGAATACAAGCAAGAGCTTGGGAATGCTATTGGTATGCAGAATAAAATGATGATATCTCCTCAGTTAAATCATCATTATATTTATTTGAATAATTGTTGCATTTAACGAATTCATTTTCAGTCAATTTTGCTCGCCTTGTACCTGATGGATTGCTCGTGTTCTTTCCATCTTACTACCTTCTGGATCAATGCATTGGGTGCTGGAAGAATGTGGTAAAGTATCAAACACAAGCAATTGTATTGCGAAATCTGTGTGTTTCATTCTGTATTTATCGTCTTTGTTTATGTGTTGGTGCAGAGTCATGCAAATTCAACAACAATATGGGAAAGAATCTGCAAACATAAGAAACCTGTTGTGGAACCTAGACAATCCTCACTGTTTCCTTTGGCAATTGAGGTAACACTAACTACAAATTTAACTAACATCTTTTGCATTCTATGTTATTTAATTTCATGTGTAATCACTTTGCCTGTTTTTTGGATGTATGCATGCACATTTGGCCAGGACTATATGGCTAAGCTGAAGGATACCTCAACTTCTGGTGCAGTATTTTTTGCTGTTTGCCGTGGCAAGGTATGCCTTGTTTAGACTTTTTACCAGTTCTCTCTTTCTGTCTTTTTTTTTTTTTTTTTTTTTTTTTACTAACTCTTTTGCATCTAATTTATTTAATTTCATGTGTAAAATCACTTTGCTGAATTTTTTGGATGTTGCATGCACATGTTGGCGCAGACTTATATGGCTATAGCTAAGGATACTCATACGCTTTGGTTGAGTATTATTTTGCTGTTTGCGTGGCAGGTTGCGCTTGTTCTTAGTTATTATTGACATCTCTCTTTCTGTCCTTTTTTTTTTTTTTTTTTTTTTTGAGGTGCTGCAAGCAAGGCTTCTGTGCTTTTTTTTTTTTTTTTTTTTTTTTTTGAGGTGCTCAAGCAGGCTTCTGTGCTTTTTGCTGACTTGTGAAAATGGAAAGAATTGCTTTTAATATGCTGATGTTCCTTGAGACACTCTATGACATGATTTTTTTAAGGCACAGTTAGCATACTACCGATGTTATTAGATTCAATTTCTCAATGCTTTTTTCACTGCTTGGCTTGGTAGAGCCCTTCGGACATCATGACATGTAATTAACAATTTGATGACTACCTCAAAGGTGCAAGTGGAAGTGCTGTAAATAACCAAAGGTCTGAAAAGCTTGTGCTAGTAAGGACTTTGACAATCTTTGTCTAAGGGTCCGTGTTTCGATAATTGGAATAAGTTTTTGTGCTATGAATGATTTCCAGGAAGGGATTCTACCAATGACAAATAAAAATTTAGCACAAATGAATTCAAAATATCACAGGAACATCTCTATTAATAAATATGAGTCCATGTTCTTGGCTGCTTTTTATCTACTTAGCTTTCAGATGCATTTTATCTACTAGCTCTGTAGAGCTCTAAGAAGCATTCTCTTTGCATGATCATTGTGCGCATTTTGAATCACTTGATAGTAGAGTCATCAGCCAGAAACTGATGAACCAACAGTGCAAGTCAATGTTTTGTTGTATGATCTTTTTGAAATATTTTGCTTTTCTGAAATTCTCATTGCCTGGTCTTTATGCAATGCTTTTTTTATAAATGGTATTGTGACTGCTGATAATGTTTCTGTTCAGCTTTGAACTTTATATATGTTCGATGAAATATCATCTCTATTTAGGCTTTTTTGCAGTGGTTGATTGTTATTAATTTGTTAGGTGAGTGAAGGGTTAGATTTTGCTGATCACGCTGGAAGAGCTGTTGTGATCATTGGTATGCCCTTTCCTTCAAGGACTGATCCTAAGGTTTGATAATCTATTACCCTGCTTTTCCTTGGGATTTATTAACTTGCTTTGGGATCAATGACGTTCAAAGATGGACATTTGGAAAATGCTATTAAGTTAAATTGTCGGACATCAAATTATGTTGCATTGTTAATCCACAAAAGCGATGTTATTAATCCTTAACCATCATTTTACCGGAGGCTGCAATGCATTAATTTTTGGATATTTAAGTATCCATCATGTTGAAACATTTTATTGACACTGTTTCTGTATGTGGTTATTTACTCACTTTTGTTCTATGTTCCCAAGTTTTTTCCCTTAGGAACTTCCATATTTATTTTATTCGTATGATTGTAATAATTTTGATCATAAGCTTGACTTCACTTTCTAGAATTTGTGATGTTACAGTATTTATACCAGGTCCTCTACTTATATCTTGATCCAAATCAGTCAGTAATTTGACTTACTAGTTTGTCGTGATCAGTCTCTTATTCTTGGGTGTTCCTCCACAAATTGGAATAAAAGCAATAGGGACATGCGTCTTGGAATTGGTTTCCATGTTTTCTAATACTGGAACAATGATTTTTTTATACTAGGTGTATTCTTGTTATGCTGGATCTGAGATGTTGTTGACGAGTTGATTCCCCACCCTTAGGGATTTATATCTATAGGCCAGGTCACAAATACACATGAATCATGGCTGCATTTATCAATTTGCCCATTTCTTTTGATCAATCAAGTCTATAAGACCCAACAGTTCTAAAACTCAAAATTTAACATCAACCTTATGACAAGAAAGATCTCCAAAACCTTCTCTTAATTAATCTGAGCTGAGATTAGAAAAAAGAAAACTTTTCCCATACCTTAACAGTAAACAAAACCATAAGAGTCTTGTCATCATGCATGCTTCTGCATCTTCTAAATGCTGTTTTGGTATTCTCTGAAGCTAACAGTAGACTTCTGACATATGTAAAGGTATTTTATAATCTTTATTATATTCTTAAATTTAGAGGCAACAGATCTTTTATTATTTAATTCATATAAAATATATTTTTATTATGATTTCTCCCATGACAAGGATTACATTCATGTTTCTTTCTGCACATGCAAGCTTCTTTATAATTTGCCATACAATCACTTCGTATTTGTCAACATATATCATATTTTGATGTATCTTGTTTGTTTTACATGGATAGCTGTTATTTTTTAAAATTGATTTTGAGGATTTGTATTGAACAATACGACTTGATTCATGATTCTCAATTCACAAAATGAGGGTTTAGATTCTTGATTTGTCAAATATGGTTGTTGATATGTCTTTTGGATATTGACTATGTTGATCTTCCTCGTCATGTTACAACCTTGTAATTCAAGCTAGCATATTCCAAACTATGTATGGCAGGTTAGATTGAAACGCGAGTTCTTGGATGAGCAGTTGCAGTTGCAAAGGAATGGATGCAAGGTAATGGGAATGTGCATCATGTTCGATTGCCTTTTGAAGTTCTATCCCTAAAACTATGGACTTTATCTCTATTCCTACTCATTTGGAAACTGAAGTTACAGATTCTAAGTGGAGAAGATTGGTACACGCAGCAGACATCAAGAGCTGTGAATCAGGCTGTCGGACGTGTAATTCGTCACCGTGATGATTATGGAGCAATTATTTTCTGTGATGAAAGGTTCTTTTTTATCCCCTTTTTTGGAAAATTAAATTTTACAGTATTAGTTTTATTTGACCTTTCACTAAAATGTATAAGCGTGCACAGCCTTCAAATGGATTGCCATTGTATTTAATGAAACTGTTACTAAGACTATGTTGATCTTCCTCGTCATGTTATAACTGCGATGAAGAACTTCCGTGAATAGTTGGCCTAAGACTAAACTTGTCGCAGTTAAAGTTGCAGTTGCTGTTAATAGCTTTATCAGTATCATTAAGATATAGATTTTTGTGACTTTTGCTTCATCATCTGAATATGAACAGGTTTGCAAATTCAAATTCTCAATCCCAAATATCACTTTGGATACAACCCCATATCAAGGTACAAGGTGCAGATTTTGGAATACTGATTTTGCTCTACAAAGTTTGTTTGTACTTATATCTTCCATTTCAGTGTCATTCCAAATTTGGGGATGTGGTTTTTACATTGAGCCGCTTTTTCCGAGATGCATTAGTTCGTGGTCCTGCAAAGCTTAAGTCAATACAAAGTGAAGACATGGGTAATAGCTTACTGCTTAACAATGTTATGAGTATCTTGACTTTATGCTCTTTATACACAAATATGCATGTATATATTTATTCTCTCTCTCTAGAAAAAGAAAAAGTCCCATCTGGACTAGCAGGATAGGTTCTTGTAAGAAGACTGACTGTCCGGAAAACTTTTTCATAATATTTAGCTGCTTCTGGTTGGTTCTATGATTGCTCTAGCCCCTTGTTCCTCAATCACAGTTGGCGTCTTAGGGAGCGGGGTTGGTGTGTTGATGACACTGTTCCAAAAGAAAAAGATAAATAAAGATTCCTAAATAGTGGAAAGATATAACTTCTCATTTTCTGGTTTAATTGAGTCCTCTTTCTTTTCTTTTAAAAAAGACCAATTTATGCTGTAACTTTTGGCAATGTCCTTGCGCAGAAAATGTCAAAGAGGTGAAAACTTCACAGCCTGTAGACAAATTTTACCTGGGCGATTTTCTGAATTCGGTAAATCTTTTTTTCCGAGCATTTGCTCATGCTTTTGTTTGTAGCATGCAGTGTTTTCTGTTAATGAAATTTTGCTTGATCATTATATCTGCAGAGCACACCAATAGATCAGAATGGTGCGTCAAAATCATTATCTTCTTTACTTGAAGTCAGAAGAGGCAAGGAGTCAGGGCAATTGAAGGAGGTTCTTCCTGCCAATCGCTCATCTCTCACTACTTTCAAGGAAAATCAGGATTTCAATTTAAAGTATTCAAGTGGTCTTCTCTATAAAGACAAGAAATTACTAGTTCATGGGAGTAAAAATACACAACATGAAAATCATGAGAGAATGGATTTGAGTGACAAATCTTTACCGGATGAAATTCCAAGCAGACCGAAATTTCTTGTACCATGTCTTGAAAAGAAGCGTAAAGCATTTAAGTCAGAGAATGGTCTAACGGGACAGATTGATAACACTCAAGATTATACACCTAACACCAAAAGATCACATTCAAATAGCCCCTGTACCCCTTCTAGTTTGGTGACAAAACTAGAGAACCCACACCACTCTGATGATGGAAGCAAGCAAAATGCTGAAATTGTTTCAGTATGCCCCTGCGATGATCATGATATTGCACGAAATGGGGATGCTGGGTTCCTCACTCAGAAAAATAAAGGTGTTCAGAACACTTTGGCACCTTGTAGTGATGAGGAAAAAAGAGGATCTGCATTTCTGATTCAGGTGAAATATTATCCGCATAGAAACATTTATGATTATGCTGTTATTTGCTTTAAAATTGTAAAAAGAAACTGTCTGAAGAAAACTGTCACTGGCCAGTTTCTGTTTTCTAACAGAAATGCAGGCTGTTGAACCTGTGGACCAGAGCTACCATAGATTATGGTTCTTGGGACTGTTTGTGATGCTATATATTGGTGCTCGGGTGTGTTTGTTAGATAGATATCAGTTCCAATCAATTTTTTCCATATATTTTATGATTAGTGATTTTCTTTCAATTTCAAATATGTTACTGCACTTTCTTTTTTCCAGATAATTGTTTTTTCTTCTTTTTTTCTAGTTATTTTTCTCTTTTGTTGATTAAAGCCTAAAGAAGTGGAGAGCACATAGTGAACTTGTACCTAAGTTAAGCTTTTTTTATTCTTTTGATTGGAAGGGAATCAAGCCTCAATTGCACATTTATTTTCACCTCATAGTGTGGGAGGAGGAGATGGAAAAGAAAGGGAATGGCTGGTAGTAGTTAAATGCCATGTCAAAAACCTCTGAAATATTTTTGAAACATACAAACTTTTTTTCAAAACATGCAAGAGGAGGGTGTATGATAAGTTTACCTACATTCTCTGGGAATGCATTTACCCCTGTAACCTGTCTTTCAGTTGTCCGAACTTTTGCTTTTTGTTGTTTTCTATCTTAAAGATCTAGAGAAAATTTTACTATCATGTCAATAATTTCTCAACTTTATGCCTCACAGGTCAAAGAGAAACTTTCAGCAGCAGAATACAAAGAATTTGTGGGGTTTATGAAGGCACTAAAGTCTAAAGCCATGAAGATAGGGAATGTTTTAGAATCCATAGTGAGATTATTTTCTGGACCAGAAAGGAATCCTCTTCTTAAAAGGTATGTAACTGCTACCTTTGCCTTGTATAGGAATTGCTAACTTGCCTTTGATCTGAACTTTTGACTTGGCAGTCTTGTTCTGGTTTTAGTTGTTGAGCTGTTTTTATGTTTCATGCATGCTGATCTTGTGATTCTGAGCCCAGTAATTGACTGCATGGATATTGTACTTCAGAAAGTAATTGCAGGAAAAGCTTTTGCAACTGTGTAGCCTAGGCTGTACTTCCAATCACTGTTTCCCAGTCTTGCTTATTATTTTTCCTTTGGAATTCCAGAATGGCTATGTACTGGTTGGATATTGACCACAAAGTTTTTAGATATTTATTGCTTACAAGCTAGATACTTATGCTGGAAGATGTGATTGAAATTGAAGCTATTTAATGTTTTATTATATATTTATTGGACATGAATTCCGACCAACTTCTATATGTGTGGAAAGATGCTGATGAATGATATAATGTTGGCTTCTAGCAGAATCTCAGCCTTGTACTCCTGCGACTTTATCATACTTCATTTTCTTCCTCCTCTCCTCTGAACATTTGCAAAACCTGGTCCTAGTTTATGAATCTATCTATGCTCTCAACTTTGCATTTCTTGCCTTGCTTCCGTATTTTCTCTCCTCAAGACTTTCTGCTTTGTTGGCATAATTCATTTCCTTCTTTCTTCTGAAGCAAAGTTGTAAAATTTATGGGTTTCGTTAGCTTGAAAAGAAACAAATTGTGCAATGGAATATTAACTGTAGATGCAGGAAAGATATGTTTGGCTGTCCATATTTTAAAAGGTTGGCATTAAATGGTCATGCCTCTGATGTGCTAAAATCTAGTATAGTCCCTGTTTTCAGTTATCTTGGGTTTTTTCAGCGGAATAAGCATTTATTTCATGTTCTTCGGTATCAGACCCCAGCCTATTTTAAATATGAGATTCTAAAAGCAAGTATATTATCATTGTCATTAATATTATTTGGATTTTTCACATCTGTCGTCTGTTACATATACTCCTTCATCAACTGGAAATATTCTTTAATTTGAGGAGAGCTTTTGCTTTTTCTCCTTCCGTCTTTCTCTCTGCGTGCGTTAACTATTCACTAATATTGGAAATAAAAAACAAATTTATTGCTATAAGCTCTTTCATCCTGATATCTGGATCTGACTTTCCTATTGACATTTTTAACAGATTCAAGGATTATATTCCTACAAAATATCATTCTTTATATGAGCATTATCTTGAAGCCAATGATGAAACACTCTTTAAACGAAGTAAGTAACTCTATTTCTGTAGCATACAATTCAAAGTCAGGGGCTCGGTGTTATATTTGATTTGCTACGGTTTAGTTTCTCAGATGAAATTTCATATGCAGATATGTACTTTGCAAGGTCTAGAGATGATGAGCAATGACTACTATGGGAAGAATTAAAATGATTACTATACGCGAATTGTTCTTATTTCGTATGGTGATTATAGATGTGCTATTTTTTCTTGGAAATTTTTTTCTGGGTGTTTATAGATATTTGTTAGAAACATGAATAGTCCCCCACATGCGGGTGCAGTCACATACATGAATTACTGTGCAACCTCTTGATCAAAACTAAAGTAATGACTACCTTGTAAATATTGTGTGGCTAGATTATGGAAAATCGCATTACATTTAGTCCTAACTTCAATTCTTATTGAGCAAATTAAAAACATATAAATGGATCTACGGGAATCCCATGCATGATTGTTTATGGAACGGATATCATGTAAATATTCCCCCTGCTGCATTCCTGTCGGGACCTGAAACTAAATGTATTTTTGCATATGTCAATTATGTTTATTTTGCACACACATGGACATACGGACACAAATTTATGTAACTAATTTATATTTTAATGTGCAATATATTAATGGAACTTGTATTCATAACTGTGAACTCTTCTTGTTAATGGCCCCCCATCCCATCTGTTCGTATATAAGTGCCCCAAAAGGAATAGAAGGTCTTTTGCCTTTTTTCCTTTGGGGTGTGCGTTGGGGGGTGGTGGGGGTGGGGGAAGGATGGTTCGTTTTCTATTATGTGTAGTGTGACCAAAGATTTTTTGTCCGAAAACCTTCTTCACTCTTTGATTCTTGACCTCTGATATCTGCTCAAGAAGAGTCCAAATTTAATTTCAATTATACAGTGCAGCATAAGTGATTAGAGGAACTGTACAACTTCATCATAGCAACTGCTGCACTAAGTCAATGCTGATTGATGCCACAGAATTCTGTAAGTAATTTTTGTTACTAAAACCAATATTCCTCATGTGATTGCTATGCAAATATTAAGTAATTGTTCTTTGATTCATTGGGATGTTTGACTCTTTAGGACCGGGAATTTATTGCCTGTGATTTGGTGTAAAGGGTACAAAACTGATATAGAGATTCTTCTGGACAATCCTTTTTTGCTTCAAAGTAATCGAAGGCTATTCTGACCGATATGGTCAAAGTGATAGCATTTGTAATTGTGACGGGGAAGATTCAATGTGAAGGTAGCGTTAACCATTGCTTGGTTTTTGAGTCACCTAAAAATTTATCGTCGAAAGAGTAGATTTGTTATTTGTATATAATTTTCAGGAACCTTCAGGGAATGAAGCTGCAATTGCATAAAATATTATTCCTCATTCCTGACCAGAATAATGTATGATTTTAAGCTCTCTGATATCGTGAATGGAGTTCTAGAAAGTTAAAGCAGGACATATCTTGTGTAGTATCTTCAGTCTGCAGTTTCTGTATATACTGTGAAAAGGAATTTTTGTTTACAAGTTTGACTGACAAGGATACTCCGTTCTAATTCCGTTTATTGCTAATTGGTGATATCTTGCAGCCTACTTTCTATCCATATATTTTTTTAGGTAACCGAAAAATAATTTCCATAAAAATTATTATTTATTATTTGAGATTGGGTAAGCTTTGAATGCCCATATCCACTTTTAAATTCAGCTAGTTGAAAAATCTCAGTGAAGGATTGGATTAATTTAATGTTGTTAACTTTTTTGTGAAAACTGAAAAGTGAAAGATTTCTTTAACAATAAGAAATCGTCAGTCAATCTCTTGAGAAAGAAATAGGTGTCTTTTCTTGACAAAGTTTTGCAATATGTCACTATAATTATGCTCCTTACGCTTCTGCCCTGCTCAGATCTCGTAATTAGTGAGGGAAAATCTACATGAATCCGGACTTTTTAGGAACCTGTTGAAAGAGAATTTAATTTTGATTACAGAATATCTGATTTTTTTTTTCTCCGTTTAAGGATTTAAGAGTTTTAATTGGCAATTTATTATTTTGGAGGCAATACCAATCTTCATTTATTTGGATTAATTTTAAATGTTGAATCTGAATTACACCTTGAGAGTTAAATGATTAAGAAGTGGTATGCGTGTCATTTTATAAATCCCGGAGGGTAATTTTATTTTTCATACAATAACTTATTTTACATTGTCTGAATGAGTAAGAGAAGGTTCAATTAGCTGCTTAAATTTTGAGTAATCACCATAAATTTGAATAAGTTTTTCTGAAACCTGATTGATGAACTCTCCTTTTTACCCATTGTAATTAAAATAATTCCATTGGTGTTATTAATATTAAAAATTAAAAATTAAAAAAAAATTCCCAATATGCCTATGCATAAAAAAAAAAATATCGCCGGGGAACAAACAACAGACAAGATGAGACCAACCACCCGCAATCTCTGAGCAACAGAATAACCAAAACATTACAAAACAAAAATCATAAACAAACTAGTTTTGGTCTCGAAAATTACTCATCCACATATAAATATTGCTTTTTGCATGTGACGCCTACGGCAATTAAGACCAAATACCAGTTTAATATATTTTTTTCTTTCTTGTATACTAATAAATATATTCTTTAAAGAAAATTAAATTAAACCCATATCCATAGCCAAAACCTTACGTAACATTCCTCAATCTCCTTCTCCTCTCTCTTGCACTTCGAGAACTCCTCCGTGACTTCGCCGGAGCTTCATCCGAACGTTGTCGCAAACTGACAACAAGATCCACAAAAGCGTTTAATATAAACTTATGAGACTTCTGCTCATTTAAATCCAAATAACAATACAAAAGTTCTTGCATGAAATCCCAATCCATTTTTCCTTCTCGTTCAATTCTTGATTCTGCCATTTCTTGCATCGACCGCCGGAAATCATCAGCAGGACTTGCAGAATACTGTATAACGGCGATACAGTCGTCAGGGAGCTCTACGCCGTTCTCGTTTCCTTTAGAATTTCTAGCAGAATCATTAAGATTTAGTGTATTATTACTTGCTATAGAATTAGAAGAACTTGGTCGCTCTTCTTCCGAAGAGGTGGTGGTGGTGGTGGTGGCAGTGGCAGTGGTGGTAAGACTTGACCGTGCTTCCTCGATAAGCGAGCTGGATGATCCAGCCGTTACAAAAAATCGGTGGGACCCAACGAGGTCAGGTGGTAACTCAAAGTTTGTTTTGGGAGAGTCATATATAACCTTAGGGCTTTGATCGTAATAACACTGATCATACTCTCCGTCTTCATCAACTTTACGACGAGAACCAAATTCATCGTCGTTTTTCACATAAAGAGACTTAAAATTCTCTATAAGAAAGCGATCAACATCGGAGAGCGTAGCAGCGCCATCTCTGCTACTGCTGTTTTGTTGATTTTCTTGACTATGGTAACGACTAGAAGGGGTTTTAGGGTATTTGCAGCCTGATAACACCCAGCTTTTAGAAGGGTTAGGATTTTTTATTTTAGAAAGGTATAGTTGAAGGGCTTTTTGGAGTTTCTTTGGCATTTTGTTGATGGGTTCTTGGTTTTCCGGCTGAGACAAAGAATGGTATATATTGTTGGTGGTAGGGGTTTCTGACTCTGAGCTATTTGTATGCATAAAAGATATGGAGGTTTGAAAAGAAATATGCGTTTCTTTAATGCATTAAGTAGAAAGTTAGTAAAAAATAACAGAAGGGACGACTTGTAGTAATTGCTGTTTTTTTCAAATTTGACTCTTTTATGGAAAATTATATTTTGGGGTTGTTGAAGCAAAATTAAATTAAGAGGAGGGAGAGATTTATGGACTTAAATTAATTATTGTTCTAAATATGGTAATAAATCTGGCTTTAGTGAGCACTTTGTTTTCGTGTTTCGTTGCGTATGGTGTTAATATTATGTTATAGATAGCAGATTTTTGCTTGCCAATTAATCATTTTTCAATTAAGGGATTTTCACTAATACATGCCTAATTAGGTTTTTTGGTTTTTGGTAATTAGTTTTTTTTTTTATATATAATATATCAGCCAAATTAATTTATTTCCATTCTTGTTTTTTCTTTCCCTTTAGCAGTCCGAATCTGATTCTTAAATATCTTTCTTTTCCCGTTATATTTCTCCAAAAATCTATTTACAGGTTATTTGATTTAATTGTTTATAACAGCTGATAACTTAGTGGTTAATAACTACTAACTGATATATTTTATTGTTTGGTAAAATTTTTAGAAATAATTGCTATTGAAATGTAATAATGTCAGGGATAATAATTATGATTATATTAATTTAAGTTGAATTTATTATTTATTATTTTAATATTTTATATAAAACATAAATTAAACATTAAAATTTTTTTAACAATATTTAACATTTATTTATTACTTTATAAACACGGCTGATACGAATATCGATTATATATTCGAAAATTCCAGTGAGCTATTAAATATCGATCATATATTTAACAGGATACTGATGACCCCGTTTCTATTAATTTGATGAATGAGGTTAAACGGAACCTGAATCAGGCTTTGGAAGCAACGTGTAAAGAGTCTTTAGTTGTTCTATGATGATTTTAACTCACATTTTTTTCCATGTTAGAACCTCTTCTCGAACTCGTCGGAATCAATTGCACCGGTTACGAGCTGACGATGGTACATAGGTCGATACACATGATCAAATGGGCTCTTTGGTTCATTAGTATTTTCAGCAGCTTTTCGTGAGTTCCCCAACATCTATGGATTCGGTTATTTCTCATATATCTGAATCAATTATCTCAAATCATAATGATGCCTTGCTAGCTCCTTTCTTTGCTAATGAGCTCAAGACGACCTTATTTCAGATGCACTAGGATAAGGCCTGGGCCGGATGGTCTCAATCCATGCTTCTTTCAGAAGTTTTGGTAACTCAATGGTAAAGATGTTGTGGATCAACAACAACCAATGGTTGGAATCTGGCCTTTTTCTTAGTCTGTTATTGCTACCATTATTGTACGGTTAAAGACTTGCGACATGTTTCATTTTGCAAGGTCTTATACAAAGATTATTGTCAAGGTTTTGCGAATCGGCTAAAGGGATTATTGCACAAGATTGTTTCTTCTCGCAATTTGCCTTTGTACCAGGGAGACACATAATTGATAATGTTATAGTGGCATTCGAGCTTATTGATTACATGAAGAGGAAAATCTCAGAAAAACAAAAAGGTGGCAGGGGTAAAGTACACATTAACAAGGCTATGACCGAGTTGATTGAGCTTTCTTATTTGACTAATATTTCTAATTTTGTCAAGTAATATTCTACAATTAGTTTTTATTGTCGATTCTAGCTTCCATCTAGAATCTCATTGGGTATAGTCAAATGACGCAGCTCTTGCAGCAAAGAGATATACTTAACTGATTTTGGATTGCTGACGATGCGAGTTGCTCATCGAGAGTCCACAGAAAGTCTATTAATTATAAAATTTTACTAGACCCATTCAAGTTTGTGGTGAGATAAAAAGAAAATTTTCTCAGCAACACAATATTCTAATTTAGATTCTAAAAGCAAGGATGAACCAAAAATAGACACGTGGATATGAGCTAGCTAACGGTCAAATAAGCAACAAACTAAAAGACAATGAACGAAGCTTATAATTGACAAAAAAAAAAAAGTCTGATCTAATACTTGATAAAATTAAAAGTATTGGCTAGAAATTTAAAATTAAAAGTATTGGCTAGAAATTTATAAAGACATTGAAGTTTAGATTTTTTTTTTTAGTTTCTTATTTAAATTAAAAAAAATTTATTTTAGCAAATAAAATATTATATTATTCTAATAAGTTTTGAAAAATCAACATCACCCTATCCTTATTTTTATTAGCAAACTCTCGACCTTCCTTTTTAATTGATACACCAGTTTAGACAATTTTAATAAATTAAATTATTTTTAATTATATATTAACCTTGCACTCAAACTATTTAAAAGTAACTTATAAGTAACTTTACAAAACAGGATAATTTAAATTGACTTATAATTAAAAAAAAAAAATTTCAAATAGAAAATTAAGAAGCCTCTCCTAATAAGCTAGAATACAAAAGATTGAGTAAGCATAGAAAAGAATAGTTGGGGCTTAATCTGGCTTGATCACCCATATAAAAAAATTCCTTTTCCTGTATTAAAGATCAATATACCAAAAATACTACTTATTCATATCAAATTTCAGTGTCTTTTCCGTTTTCATAATGCAAGAGTTGCTTTTGGCAAATTACTTGAGGAAATAGGTAATTCATTTATTTTATTTATTCAGAGACCTAATCTGTCGAAATAACACTCCGAGTTACACAATCGGGATTAATCTTCTCTTAACTTACCAAATTGGTGAAAATTTTTATAATAAAGAGGATTTGAACGCGAGATTTTCTCACTCCTCACATGAGTGATAAGATCAACGAGACCATACTTGATTGATAATTCATTTATTCTTTTTAGTACTGTAATTATGTAATATTATATATAAGGAAACCTACTCCATTGTGGAATTTATGAAGCAAAAATAAAAGTTATACTTATAATTTAATCTTGGAAGCAGAACTTTGGTTAAAAAAAATTTTGATTTATCATAATCCAAATTAATTACTTGCTTCTACGTACTCCATGCCAAGCTCACTAAAACATAATTTAGTGAGCTTGTTAGGTGCAATGTAGCAATTAGAGGCATCCATCAATTTTCAAATATAGTGAAAGGCAAGAATTCTCATCTTTATAAAAACAAGAAGAAGAAGAAGAAGAAGAAGAAGCATGAATTGCATTTTGAGATGATGGCCAATGTCATGCCTCTGACGTGATATGATGTGTCTGTAGAATTCAGTTGTGTTTATTGCAATCTAAAAAACAATTGTTAGCTTTTGGTTGGCTTCAACAGTTCATCTCCCAAGTCACTAATCAGTACTAACAACTTCTCCTTGTTCTGAAATGGTTTTTACCTTTTGGCGAAAACAATATGTTTAGGATATTAATTAATTACATTTATTTATGTGTTTTGACTTTGGATATATAATTAATTTAGAAAAATGAAATTATTATTTCTTTTAATTTTTTTTTTATTGTCTATTGGAAAGTTCAAAACACTGTATTTAAGATGTATTATTAATTCCAGAGTAGTACGGGTAGATATGGAAAACTGATAACTGAATTCAATCAAATTGATTTTATTTTTAAGCCATTTCAAGAGAAAATGAAAATAAATTTATTCCATTATAGTTCAACCAGTTGACATGAATCCCAGTTGACATGAATCGATTATTATTTTATAAATAAGGAGCGCAAAACTCTAAAATTACAAAAAAAAAGTTAATGAAAGCGAATTTACTTTTTCTGAGCTTAACGACGCCGTTTGTATCATCCAGGTGAACTTTGCATATTGCAATGCTAGCGTCAGCTTTAGGTTGCCTTGAAGATAATGGTGACCGACACACTGACTGTAGTCTCTATCAGAGTGTCCCATATGAAACTTCTCGTTCACCAACTTGCCATCTCCAAAAGCTTTATTTTTATATTTTAATTATTTTTTGAGTGCTTGTATACAAATTTATAGACACGATGAGCTGGAAGTAAAAGATTTAATTTTTCCTGAATCATAATTCATGTATAAAATAATTTTATTTATCAGTAAATGTTCCCAAAATATTAGGTATAATTATATTCTTGCAAAAAAAAAAAAAGCCTCTTTTTTTGTCATTAGCTAAAAAAAAGAAAAAAAAAAATCCATTTTGCTTGTGGGAAAAAGAAACCTTTAATTGGGTAATGGCCTTCTGAGTCATGGTCTCATAGTTAGTTGATTTAGTTCATTTTGAGTGGTTGATTGTCATTTATTTATTTATTTATTATTACTTTATATATGAATCATCATACAAGAATTAATTCTTAAAAGGGAAAAAAAAAAACTTAAAGAGAAGAAGATAGCGATCCAAAAGAAATTAAAATATGTTTATGGTTCATGTTTCATGTCAATTTAGGATGCAACTTATACACAAGTCAACTAACATGCGCCATTATTTTTATTTTCTTTGAATCAACTAATGATGTAATGGTGTTAAAATATACGTATAATAAACTATATGATTATGTTTAAATATACTAAAGATATGTGTAATATGTAACATGTTCAAATTAAAAAGTATTTATTAAATTAAATATATATGTTGATTTATAAATTCTAAATCCCTCGATACTTATAGATTGGAGTGAACAAATAGTTGATTGATTTAAAATTGGCCAGAACTAAAATTAAAAACCGCAAAAAAATTGTATAGATTAAAACCGAATCGAACCGACTCTACTCAATTGATATTTTAGTTTTTTTTTATAAAGTCGGCTCAATTTTAATTCTGAATAGATTTTATTAAAAATTTGTTGTTAATCAATGTAAATTGAGAACCGAACTTGTTGCTAGTAGATATACTCGTCGCGGGCTTTACTCTATTTCTTTGCAAAAACCATAAGCCAAAGCCCATCATTATACTCCACACATTATTAGAATTAAATGAACTGCTATGCTATGCTATATCCCACATCGGGAAGAAACTAAACTGGCTAAGCTGACGAGAATAATAAAAGGGAAAACGAGCCGTAGGATTAGTCATACCTTTCTCGGCCTTTTGGCTAAGATCAAGTGTAGTATCTGTTCTTATCAGTTTAATATCTGATACGTGGACCATTGGTCCACATGATATTAAATTAATTTTTTTAGGGGAGGGCCCATTCCAGTAGCTTGCTACTGGGGTCCTCGAGCGTCGCCCATGCGTTGCACTACTGCAAGGGCCTGGCGCGCCCCACCAAAGCTAGTAAAAAGACTTTTTCCTATGAGCCTGAATTACGTTGAGCTAGGGCCTGGGGTGGATCAACTGAGGCCTTTGAGAATTTCTGGAAGGGCTCCCGTTGTGGTAGAAGCCCTGCAATGATGAGTTTTAAACATTTAATAATTAATAAAAAAAATAGCAACAGTAAGTTAATAGTAATAAATGATTCTTATGTTAGCAAATGTTTTGGATGTTTAGTTCATTTTATAGTTTACCCAGAGTATTTATATTTATTGTTTGTGGATTTCTTTTCTAAAGAAAGTTCATTGGAGTAATTAGGCTTTAATTTAATTAGAAAATATTAGCCTGCATAGACTTTTAGATATTCATTTACTGAGATTGATATACTTAAATTTAAAATCTGTTGAGAAACAATGTCATCCAAATGAAATTATTAACTTTCATATAATTTTTTAACAACCAATCTAAGTGATGTTTTCTTTTACGAGAATAGTTAATAGCCACGATCGTGAGCCAAAAAGCATCCTATAGTAGCATATAGATAATGTATGCAGGCATCATATCCTTGGCATTTTAATTAGAATGTGGTACAATCTTATTCTTTTCATAGAAATAATTCAATCCCACATTGGTTAGAACTTAACACCCTTGACTGAAACCTGCCTATATAGTTGAAAGCAATTCCGTCTTCAATACCAACGGAGCCATGTGGTAAGCACAAAGCGAACTATTCTTTCGCCTTTTACTAAAGAATACCGTGTGCTTGCCTCTAAATAGTGGCATACGATAATTTTTGAAGGTTAGCTCTTTATAGAGCCAACCAACAAGCTGAGTTAAATGCTTTGATGAATTTCCTATAGGGGTATTTTCACCGATACAGTTTTGATCGAACCCTGTACTGATATGCTATTTTATTTGTGTACTAGTAAATATGTGTGACGCGAATGTACATATATAATACCCATTTGAAATAACACATTAAACTGATATAGTTGTAATAAGAAAGGCCTTGACATAAACTTTATTATACTTCTACATAGAACTATTGAAAACTAAAGGAGTTGGCTTCTCCATGTGTTTCTATATAAAACAACTCTTTCAAATTAAATCAGTTTCTTTTTAACTTCCTATTACTTTCCTATGCCTCTTCTTTCTCGTAATTCATCTAGTTCTTAATGGTGTTGCACTAGCACCTTGTTGGGTTTTCATAATTAGCTAAAAAGATATCTTCACATTGGTTAACAGATAGCTCTGTTTCATTAAATAAATTAGGAAAGCAATAAAAACTAAATCAATATGGCTGTCCATTTCATTTATAGATCTCTAATTCAGGTGAAATTTTCGGTAGATATATGAAATTAACTTATTACATACTTCTTGTCGCCGCCGTTATTATTCTATTTCTCAGCAAACCATAAGCCAAAGCCTGGCATTATCGTATATCTCATGCACTAATAGATTTTGATGTGAAATGTTATGCTAAAACCCACATCGAATATAAGCTGAAATGGCCAAGCTGAGGAGGGTAACAAAATGGAAGACGGGAGACAGAATCAAGCATACCTTTCTCGGCCTTTTGGCTAAGATCAAGTGTAGTATCTGTTCTTATCAGTTTAATATCTGATACGTGGGCCATTGGCCCACATGATATTAAATTAATTTTTTTAGGGGAGGGCCCAATCCAGTGGCTTGCTACTGGGGTCTTCGAGCGTCGCCCATGCGTTGCACTGCTGCAAGGGCCTGGCGCGCCCCACCAATATTAGTATTAAAATTTTGCGATTGGGCTGAAAGTTAAAGTTGAAAGTTCATTGGAGTAAATGCCAATATAAAAGAGGCTAGTGTGTGGGTGATGATTTGGTTGGGATTTAACTTAATTAATTAATTTACATGGTCTTTGCGATGAGCTTTAAAAACCTATATAAATAGGGTGAATATGTAGGGTACTATCAATTCTTATTTGGGACACCATCAATCTAAAAGAAGAGTTGCTTGTAAAAATTAGGAAGAAGGGAGAAATTGGATAAATTTGCTGACATTGATACATCAAAACAAGGAATATTAAGCTTAAATTTTATTGATTTGATTCACAATCATCAATTATACAATATTTAATTTTTTGAAGGGCAGTTCTTTGTAGAATCAGCCCTCCGTCAAAGCAAGTTAAAAGCCTTAATGCAGGTTTCTTTAATGGAACGCTACGCTGGACTGCACTGTGACTGTTCTGTCGGAAGTTATTTATCATAGAACATTAATATTCCTTCAAACAATAATATTAAAGCGAACTAGTCTTTCGCTTCTTTCAAGGACTGGAGTTCCAAAATAGCTCAGCCTCCTACAATTTCTAAGTACCAAGTTTTTTTTAAAATGCATAAATAAATAAACTATTTTTGTCTAATTTGACAAGTATATAGATAGATCTTTAAAAAAGGAAAATTGAGGCTTTCGAGCATTTTATTGATTCCACGGTAATCCCAACAGAAATAATTAACTGAATTAACATTTTTTAGAGGCACAAGGAGCTTTGTGTGTGAGAGAAAGAGAAATCATGGCGAGCAATGTGAAACAACAAGAACGAAGAAGAAGAATTGTGGAGAGAGGGAGTGATCGGATGGCTCTGATCACCGGCCAAGTGCGAACGCTAAATGATTCGTCATCGCTATCATCACCTACCGAAACATCGACACAGCGTCCACATCACCATGCGCACACAGAATCCTCTCCATCAATTTTGTTCTCTCCTGATGATCAGTCTCAAATCAACCGTACCCATTTTCTTCAATCTCTTAAAACTTTTCCAATAATATTTTCGTTTAATTTAATGATAGTGCACTATCTTAATCTACGATTTTCTTTTAAAATCATCGTATTTGTTTGAAGGTTGTCAACTTTGTTATGGGTTTATAGCTATTAGCAATTTTCATGGTAAAAGGTCTTTATTTATTTTATTTATTTGTGTTTGCAGCTGCTCCCGAAGTAGCAAATGAGGCATCATTTTCAAAGTTGGTGAAACTGAGGACAATGAATGAGTGTTCATCAGGAAACAGAGCATTTGACATCTCATCAGGAACCAGAGCATTTGACATGTCATCAAGAACCAGAGCATTTGACATAGGAAAACAAATAGAACCTCAACTTAATAAAGTTGAAACAGTTCCTGAAATTATAAAAACTCCTGTTATTGACACTATAACCAGAACAAGCACACAGCCACCTAAAGCCACACCGTCAATTCCAAAGCCACAAACTCAGTCCTGTTTCTTCTCTTCCAAAAGGGTAAATTCCTGCATTATGGCATCTGAGAATATGCGTGCGATCAGCTCTCTCATTATAGCAATTTTAGTGGTTATGTCTAATATTGGGTATCCAATTTTTGGATTTGATTTCTTGAGTTGGGTCCACTTTATCGTCTCTAGACCTTTTTTTTTAATTCTGTTAACTGATGTAACAATTGTGCTTTGTCGAATGGTTTGCGAGCCTGCAAATTTCGTTGTTGAGGAGACTGAAGAAGAAAGAAAAGATGAAGGAGATAATTGGGATGGAGCAGTTAAATTTTTGGAGAGAGGTTTGGTTTTATACCATGCTTCTCATGGCCTTTTTATTGATTGTAGTATTTATTTGATTATGGTCATTTCTGGCCTCTCTTTAGTCTAGTTTTTTCTGCAATTCCAAGATTAATAATTATAATTAATATTTAAGCATTAGGCAGTTTAGTGCTTGAGGATTTCTTTTAGTTGAAATCTCTATTGTCATTCATTTATATTATTTCTGTATAAACTTCTTGAGAATAAGACTTAAACCCACCTATTTCCATTTGACTTCAACTCTTTTTTGCTAATTTTGGTGCATTTTCTTTTAATATTTTCTTGTTTAGGTTCAATTATTAGAGCCTATATGACTTTTTCATTTATGAATATGCAAGAATGCATAAAGTGATTTTGTGTTTTGCTGTTTATAGCTCATTAATTGGAACCTAACATGGTGGTGCTTAATTTGTGGATAAGAGATTTGTTGGGTTGCTGGTAGGTAATGGATATATTGGGACCTGGTAGGTCTTCTTCATGTTCATGGCCAGAACAAGTACTTTAGATGAACAGCAAGGCTTGCTTTATAATTTCATTAAATTTGGTTTATTGTCATTTCCTACTAATTTGGGAAAAGTTTGAAAGAATCATACAGAAAAATGAGTAGTTGGGATTTGATGAATGGCTTGGATGATTTGGTTAGATGCTTTCCCATATTATTAAAGCTCCTCCAGCCGGTGAAGTTCATCTTGTTGGTAATTGGTGATTGGTGAGGTTACTTCAAATTCATTCAATGCATATTGGAGGGACCATTTTACACATAAAATTTTTGACCATTTATATGTATAAATGGTCATCTATCTTTCATACACTAACCAGTTGCAGTGGAGCCACAAACGATTACACAGATACGTAAGCCATATTCGGTAATAACCTTTTAAATAGCATTTAAAGTTTACACTAAACATTATTTTATATAGTATTGGGTAACATAACGTTTAAATTATCCTTTAGAGGTTAAGAAACCATTTTATAAAAAATTAACCCATATATACAATATTTAACTTTTAGCCTTTTATGAAAAGTTATTCGAATATCTCACGGTTAAAATGCTAACAAAATAACTAAAAGCTATCAAAACAGTTAATTTTACCGAATAGACTTGTAATGTTCATTCTGTTTACTTTATCAGCCTTATGTGTGCATTTCCCTGCCTCTTATTGCCTTGGTTCAATATTTTGCTTGAAAATTTAATGTTGATTTTTTGTTCCAGTTGGTTAAACAAAGTGAAAAACATAATTAAACTAGTAATGTGAACAGAAATTATAAATATAAATTAAAATTTGAACCCAATATGGATAAAATCGAAATAGAAATTTTGAGTTTCAGGGTCTCAGCGTTAGCCAGTTGTAGTAAGTTTCGTTGGCGGGCATATGAGTTTGTTGGCAACCATAGTAGGTGAAATTGGCATCGGAAGCTAAAATGCAATAAACCTAGCAGTTGAAGTCCATCAGAAACTTTGGTTTTTCAATACACAATAATGTAACTTACAGAAGCAATGTCTTTTGTGTTCGGCATATTTAAGTATCCAAGAATATATATTCTCTGCTTTCGGTCTTTTCGGGGCCCTCATGAAGTATTTCACATGTAAGAGGGACTCTTTCTGACCCCACGAAAAGGAACTACTTTGGGACATGCTTAAAATTAAATTTGAATCAGCTAAATTGGATAAAGTTTTATAGGCTTCTCTTTATAATCTTTTGGGATCATATTGGCTTGGGAAAGTGCTAAAGGATATTCAATTATCCTTTGTATCTCAGAACTCAGATTCTCTACTTTAGCACTCGGGATTATAGTTTGGTTGTTACCCACTTTTTCTTTTTGGAAATAGTTTCTTTTTAATGATTTATTTTCAATTAAGATTTAAATTTTCTATCTCTATAAATTTACTAGTTTGAACTGAAATCAGCACACAGTTCTAATCAGACAGCTGGGTCCTTGTCTGAGGCAGGAATATGCACATCCACTTAGTGACTTGCCCATGCTGGATCAACTCACTCTCCACATTCCACAACAATCCCATAATTTTTTGCTTCACTTCCATTGAATTGGCTCAAAAACATAACAAACAAAGATTTAAAAATGTCTCTCATGCTTTTACTTTATCTTTCTTTTCTTTTAATCATACAAAATTGTTTGGCACGGTTTTTTACAAAGACGACCATAAAATTTAAAGTTGAAAACTTTTAATTCTATTTAATTTTAAGTTATAGTTTGATGACTCATTAGGCAAAGCAGTCGAGATATTTCGAACCGGAGAGATCTCACTATCTATCTAATTGACATATTTCTTCATTTATCTGATTCATTTATTGAGCCTACAAAAAAAACGTCTACCATTATATGTTGGTTGAGTAAGATCCTATTACGAATGGAGCACATGCATTTGCATGTGTACATTGCAGCTGGTATAGTGCCCCAATCATAATGTAAAGTCTGGACCACTAAATCAACAAGTTTCTATTATTTATTCTATTAATTAATTACTATAAAGAAAGCTGCAACCGTCCATTATTATTATTATTATTATTATTATTATTATTATATATTTGGCTAATACTATATAATTAATTAAATTACTGCATCTAAGGATAGATGATGAGAGAAAATCTACCACTTTCAACGGTCTACACTTATTTAATACTTAAAGCGTTTCTTGAAGTTACAAAAAGATGTTAATTAATCATACATAATGGTCCACTTGCAGATTAAGTATTGTTTTATCACTATTTAATTATATCATCATCATGCTTTTAAGATTTTATTATCTAATCTGAATCTAAACAATGTGATTCAGAGCCTTTTGCCTACAATAGATTGCTTCAGATTTGCTAAACCTAAGAAAAGAAAAGAAAAGAAAAGCAAGAGTAGATGAGGGAGATGACAATCTTTAGTTACTTTTCGTTTTGATGATTTAAGCATCAATCCAATCATAATAATGATTAGATAAGTATAATAGAGATGATTAGAAGGTCATTACAAATTCTAATCATGATAAGATTAACATACGGATCCCTCTATCTAAATACTCAAAAAAAAAAAAAACCCTGATTAATTATAAAAAAATGGCAAAAATATGTACATTCGTTACCAAACTATAGAAACCAAATTCTGAAAATATACCAAAAAAAGACTTAAAATTGCAAATTCAAAAACTATCAACTGATTAGAATCTTATATCTCAAAAAAAAAAAAAAAAAAAAAAAAAAACAAATTCTGAAATTACCAAAAAAGACTTAAAATTGCAAAAATTCAAAAACTATCAACTGATTAGAATCTATAATTCAAAAAAAAAAAAAAAAAAAAAAAAAAACTTAATTAGAAATCATATGAAACTACTTCATTAAAAGATTAAGGAAGATCAAGAATATTGAAAGACCTCAAAGCTCCAACATTTCCTTATTTCCTATAAACCAACTCAGTCCTTTTCAAAAGATTCTGGAAGGAACAGCAAACCTTAGCTGAAGAATGATCGGAGACATATTATCAGGATCACAGACCACATTGACCCTTCGATCAAAATTTGTGCATATCCAAGGACATAAGAAAAATGCATCCGAACTTATCGTTTGATGTTTGAATGACAAACGAGTGAACAATCCAAGAACTTCTTCTTTTCCTTCATATTTTCCTCCCATAGCAATCTTCCATCTCGGCCTCTTCAAACATCCATTACTTGCTATCTGCTACTCTCCAACAATTAAACGACGCCGTCGAAAACAATCCGATCATATCGACCTCCGCCGGAGTTACACCAAGGTGCCCCAGTTCCTGGTTTTTTTGTAGATCTTGAAAGAATTTCCAATTCTTGGGTTTTATGTGTTAACGGAAAAGCTATGGGTTTTAATATATGGAGAGCATTGAGTTGGAGACATGGTCACATGCCATAATTTAAAAGGGTAAAGATTTGTCAATTTTAAATAAAAGGATTTAATCCTGAAATTATGTAATATGCTATTAATAATTTATGGGTTTTTAATGGTCCATATTTTCTTTATATGGTATTTTTAGTTAATACTTTTTTAAAAATAAATTCTTTTTCAACTTTTCAAGAAGGAACCATAGACTGGCAATTGATATGAGGTTTCATGTGTTTTAGATATATATAAATAGTGGCAAATTTGTAACGGCTGATATTAAATTGATCATGATGAACCGACCGTACCATAATTTCTGCATTTCCTTTTCAAAATGCTTTAGGTGATTTATTTAAGGAAATTTATCATAATTTTTTTTACTATAAAAAATTGCATACTATTAGTGGAACAAAAGGTTAAATTTATATTACTGTTCAATATGGCATCATTAATGTTTAATCTTTGACTGTAACAAAGATAGGTAAGAGATTGGATAAATGAAATAAAAACAAAAAAAGATTTTGCAAATCTATGTAATTTAAAGTGAGAATTTGAGTCATAATCAAATATTTAATGTAGGAAATAATAAAATGCTCAATTGTATATGAAGATCTTTCAAAATGAATCTTTGAATAATTTTATTTGATTGAGATCTACTCATATAAAAAGGTGTCCACATACATGAAATTGGGTAAATTCACCAATAAATAATTTCTTGAAACTGGAAAAAAAACTTATAACTTTCCTAATCAGAAAAACAAATTGGTAAATTGATCTAAATTAATCAGATATTCTCATAATAATAATAAAAAATTGAAATGAAATAGTAATGACTCTTTCTCCTTTAATAATATTAGGATATAAATTTTTTTTTAAAAAAAAAAATCAAAAAAATTTATGAAACTGAGAGGGAGATTTTTTTCAGGCATAAGAAAATGTCCAAAAGGTCCAAAAATTGAAGGAAATTATAATATTTAGCAGGACTGTGCATCTGGACTTTGTGTGTATATCAGAAATTATGAAATCACTACGAATGCACACAAATAATTGATTCTTTCTCCTTGAAGCAAGCCAAAAATATGCTATCTCATTTGTTTTGTTTCTAACTAACTTACTAAAGAGGTCTCATAAGGACTTTATCGTGATTTAGGCATGAGTTAATTATCATTACAAATTATGTAAATTACATCAACAATGTTATAGAAGCAAGCATAAATCTTTTTTTTTTTTTTTTGAATGTTTAATATTAATTAATAAATTAAAATTTATACTAAATTATAATTAATGGCTTGAGATTACACAATATTGGTTTACAATCCATTTAATAGATTGTAAGTTACTAATTATACACCTCAATACAATAGTTATCACATTATTAATATT